CTTTTGGCACTGTTTCAGGTAAGGCAGTGTCATATTCATATATAGCTCCCAGTATTTCAGTAATCTATGATACATTTTTTATTATGTTAATGCTTTATTATTTTACAGTTCCTATAATGTCAAAATAATTTCCCAGGACATATAATTTCCTTCAGCTTTTACAAACAGTTATGTAAGTTGGTACTCCAGGAACTTTCCTAATCTTATAAATGTTAGCTCCCCTCTAAATTAAAAAACCGAGCGTTACCCCTACTTAGAGTAAATTTGCACAATCTGCAATACGAAACGTAGTCACACATGGTCAGGATTATTTGAGTTCTTATTTTTGCAACTTTAAGGTCACTGTAAACAAAATGAACACCAACAACAATAGTATGCTGAAACAGTCGTCCTTCATTCCTGCATCAGCAAGTTAGCACTAACAGCAATTTTGCCCTTCACCCCTCAGCCCTGACCCCCTACCCACTTTTCCTCTGGCGTTGATATGTTTTGCTTTAACTGTCCTCTCTTATATTAAAATGTATGTATTTAGATTAAAGTATTACCAGCTCTTAGGAACTGCTGGCAGAGGGAGCGTTACATAAAAAGTTGGCTTGCCTTTTGTGTGTGTGTGGTTGCATCTTTGTATGAACATTTACGCTTACGCCGGTGTTTATGCACTTTCTTCACTTACATGTGTGTTGGTGTGCATGTGTACAAGCCTGTGTGTGTACGTTAACTGTATGCATGTTGGTTTCTACGTTGGCCTGTATATTATATGATGCTATAACTGAGGTCCCTGTATGTCCATGTTGTGCGTGGGCATTCATGTGTCTGTGTGTGTGTTTGTGAATCTGGCAGGCAGCATTGTTCACAGCGGCGGTGAAGGACACATCACCATGGTGTGTAAACCCCCTCCACCCCCCCAGCAACTATAAATAGCTTTCAGTGTTTTTGCAGTGTGTGTCTGTGTTTGTGTGTTACCCTCTACTTCACAGAGTTACCGGACTGTTGATTAGGAGAGGGTGAAAGAGGAAGGAAGAGAGAGAAGGTAAGAACATGACAGAGAAAATAAGCAAGAAAGAAATGAAGCTAAGAAATTTTGAGGGAGAGGAGGCAAACAAAAATAAATAGATTAAACTCCTGACCAGAAATGAATGATAACTTTAAGATCGTAGTCAGTGTCACCTGAGTCATGGTGACACTAACAGATAGGTTAAAATCCTTAAAAGTATTTTCATGCATGACCATGACCTACACATCCCTCATACTTTTATGTTCGGCATGTGAAAAATGGCCTATATAAATCCTAATATTCAGTATCTAATTACACATTAAAGCTAATTATAAGAGCAAATTATTACTGAGCGACTTCAAGCCAAAACAAAGTTCAAACAAGCAAGTCCATCGGCACAGATTACAAACATCCACAGCTATGAGTGACTTAACTTGCAAACCAATGCAACATTAAAATTGAGATTATGAAAATATATACAGTCCACACAGTACGTGCAACAACTCAACGTCCAGGCTGATGTTAAGGCATTTATAACCTCTGTGTCATCAACTACTACAGCTATGCATAAATGCACACACAGACACAGTAGGCAGTTTAACCATCAAGAGAAGACAGGGTAGAGTCATTTGAGTCATGCTAAATGAAGACCACTGGCCACTGTCCTTCCCTTCATGGAGGACAAGTGTTCTCCATGTCATTTGATTTCCCGCTGTTTTAGTTCCGCTCTGGTAATTTTGAGTTTGGCATTGCTATTAGCTCAATAAGATACTCATATGGCGCAGACGCTGTGATTTTAGTGGTAATAGAAAATAATCTCACTGGTAGGTTTCTATCAGTGATGACTCTTATCTTAAACAGCTTTTTGACAGAGGTGTGCTGCAGTCTGATTGGTTGACACTTCTTACTATCATCGAACGACGTTAACTTCACCTGGCTTGTCTCCAGTAAGACTGCAATATGCTGTTTGACCACATTGGTTGGCTCACATTACAATACACTGTGATCAGAAGGGGCGCTGTTTCACATATTGGAATTCACTCAATCAACATCAGGAAGAGGTGTCAATTTACTAAGTACCTTTAATTAAATGTACTAGAGGGCACAGTTAAAAAAAATCTTTATTGAATAAACAATCAAAAAGGCAGAGCTGAATTCCAAGTCAATATATGACTCCCCAGTATTATAAGGGTTTTTACACACTGTACTGATACCTTAGTTAAAGGAGATAGTTCTGGTTATTGGACGTGGGGTTGTGTGAAGTAGTTATGCATAATCAGTGTATTACCTGCAGTAGATTCGGATCAGCGCGCTGCCAGGTAGGAGAGACAGCAGGGAACACAGTACTTTCCTTTGCTACTACATTTTTCTTCTGTGTCCGTGCTCCCAGCCGCCTCTTTGTAAGTGACAGCACGCTGATCCGAATATACTGCGGGTAACACACTGACTATGCATGACTACCATGTCAAATAATCCAAACTATCCCTTTAAGTAAAGCGTCTGAATATTTCCCTCCACTACTGAACATTAGTAATGAATTATTTAGGCATGCTGGTTCTATGGCTCATATCATGTGCATTCTGGCTCATTGGCATGGCTTCCACGACACTAAAATGGAAAGGGTCCATCACCAATGTCATCAGTTCCACCTGTGCTTTTCCTGCTGAACAAATCACAGTCAGCTGTGAAAAAGATATACTCTGAGATTCTTACCCTTGATTTAAGACTTTATCCTTTACCTACTACATTTAAATATTGTACTTTTTACTCCACCACATTTATGTTACAGGTTTTAGTTACGTTGCAGATTTTTAAACCTGCTAAATGACCATTATCTACCCACACAGGTGTTTTCACTAACACTTCCCAATTAGACCTTTTTCTCAGGACTGTGTGGGTGTGTGCAGACTGCGCCTGATTGACAACTCCCTCATTCTTCTGCTGAGTTTGTTGCACTCGCCAGGGCAGCACAACTTACACTGTTATTATTGGCTGTGCTCCATTTGGCCATGCCAGCGTGCCACTCATTCTATAGCGGCAAGGGAAGGAAAACCAATTTAAATGGACCACAGTTGGCATCTGATGTGGCAGGTATAATCTCTATAAGTTGATAATCAAACAGCAGCAGGCAGTGGATATCCTGTGGTGACCTTTAATTTCATCTTTTAAGTGTAGGCAAAGACACCATACAGTATCTTGTTTAAGGAAATCTAGCAGATAATGCCTAGATACTTCTCTTTTTATTGAAGTGACAGTGATAGCTTGTTCTAAAAAATAGAGGGAATCTCAGCTTCTGTTGCTTCCTGAGGAAAAGCATCATTTCATTTTAAGGTGGATACGTAGGCATTACATGCTACTGGCTGGCATTCATTATAATCGCACTCTCTGGTATGCACTGCTGTTTTGATTGTTTGATTCATGTATTCATTTCATGTACTGTTTCCATCACTTTGTCTGATACCATGAGCATGGCTGCTACATGTTGACGGTATCACTTCCTCCGTAATAAGGAAGTAGAGTTCAGGAGAGACATGCCTGGCTTTGTCTCTGGGGTAATTCCTCACCCAGTTTATCTGATCCAAGGGTTTATTTTCAGGTCCCACGCAATAAAAGTGTTTATCATATCATCTGTGTGTGTGTGTGTGTGTGTGTGTGTGTGTGTGTGTGTGTGTGTTTTCTTGATTGTTTTGTTTTCTTTCTGTTTGTTAGATCTCTCTCATCTGACAACTGTCACAGCCCGGCTCAGGGCTTGACAAAGGAGGGGAAGCCGCACATGAGTTGTGACTAAAAATAAGTTACTAAAAGAGAAAGGAACTGAACACAAACCAAACAGGAAGCAAGCCAGAGGAGAAAGAGAGTAGCAGCCATTAAAACTCCAGCTTCTACTGCTTACACTGCTGGTACTACATGTTAGTTACAAGTACTGCTACTGGTGCTTCTATTACCATATCCTTAAGACAAATCCACATTTCTAATCACAGTAATGGAACACTGTTTTTGATCCCCATAAGAAAATGAATTATCCTTCGGACCCATCAAAGGTCACCCACAGTACAGCTTTTCTCCTCTTTGCTCAAGGACACTCAAGCAGGGTGGCAGTGGTGCTTCCCTACTCACTGCTGAAGACTGAACTCTTAGTCATCCCGGCCACTCAATCTCTTCATCACAATATCAATATCAAAATCACCTCTTCATCATTTTTCCCCACCAAGCTTGTGAGAAGTTTGAGGACCAAGCTATCCTTCTCTGATCATGTTGTTTCTGTCTCTCGCTTTGCACTACACGATATAAGAAAAATCAGGCCTTACCTGACTCAGTACGCCACCCAAGCCTTGGGGCATAGTTATCTGTCACCTTGACTACTGCTATGCCCTTCTTGCAGGCCTCCCTTCATCCACAGTAAAACCCCTACGGACAAATGCTGCGGTGGTGCCTTTTCTTTGATCAGTTTAAAAGGACACATATCAGTCTGCTGCTCAATGACCTCCACTAGCATTGGCCGCTAAAATCAAATTCAAGTCACTGTCTGGGGCTGCACCCATCTACTCGAACTCAAACATACAGTTTTGTGCTCCTTCTTGACCACTGCGCTTCTCCAAGGAATGTTGTCTGGCATTACCATCCCTGTATAGGAGGCAATCGCGGTCCAGTCCAGTTTTAGTTTGTGGTTCCCCAATGGTGGAATGAGTTACCAAATGCTTTTCCGGGAGCACCTGCTCACCTAACACCTAACATGCCAAACTAGCACTTACTGTGCACTTTCGGGGCACTTCTTTACCTGACCTCCTTTGCACTTTGCCTTATTGAACAGATTTAGTACTTAGTACTTACTTCAAGGACTCCTGCTGCACTGAAGCTCTACTGTTGTCCCTCTCTTATAAGTCGCTTTGGATAAAAGCATCTGTCAAATGAATGAATGTAAATGTAATCAATATCGTCAGGGTTTAAAAGTGCTATTCATTCAGATCTTATACTTCAAGTAATTTTGTTTTTTTTCCCCCCATAGATCACTGTGAAATACTATAAGGCTGCATCAGACACATCTTGCAGAGAAAGGTATGAATTCTGAGCAGAAAACCTACTACTCATAGGTATTCACAAGACAGTGCAGTAGTTTTTCTTTTCTTTTTAGTTTGTCCTTTGAGTGCAGAGGGTAGATTATAAGGGATTGTTTCTGACACCAATATAATAAGTATTATAGTTTCAAAATAAGGTGAATTAAGTCTACAATGTTGATTAGAATGAAGGACAATGACATCTGCTGGAAACTGGAAACATAAACTTTTATTTTTAATTCATGCCCCCGTTATTTTTTGCACATATTATCGGGAAGAAATGAGTTGAAATATAAAACCATCAGTCTTAAAAGCCTGTAATGAAAATCTGTCACAACATATGAATGAGAGTGTTAAGTTGCCAGTGTTTAATATTCATCATTACATCATTAATCCTGCACTGAGAGTTTTGATCAAGTAAACCTAATTATTGTGAGCAGAGGGCCCATGGGCCTCGTATGATAGAACGTCATTCAACTTTTTCACTTCACTTCAGGATCATTCATTTTTTCAAATCATACTTCAGCTCCAGCTTCAGTGGCGGATTCTTTTTGTCAAGTTCAAGCACTATGAATAAATGTATTGATGTGGATCTCCACTCCCTCGCATATCTAGGAACATGTTTTCTAGGTTCTCACTATATTGCCATGGCTACGCTATATTAACACATAAAGCAAAACAAAACCGAGGGCGCTTTAGATGAATGGATAATCATTCTTCATCTGCGCTGCTTAAGTACAGTTGTTTTCAGCTTTTTTTTCTTTTCCTCATCTCTGTTGCTTATACAAAGAAAAAAACCTATAAACCAGAAGCTGTTGGTAAATGTTGCTAGGCCACCATCGTCAAATGAACCACTGCAAGTCATGCTGTCACGTTTTATCACTATTATTTGTTCTGTGCAATTTTGGTTTATGGAATTTTCAAGAAAATGTCCTCAAACTGTACGTGTGTGTGTGTGTGTGTGTGTGTGTGTGTGTGTGTGTGTGTGTGTGTGTGTGTGTGTGTGTGTGTGTGTGTGTGTGTGTGTGTGTGTGTGTGTGTGTGTGTGTGTGTGTGTGTGTGTGTGTGTGTGTGTGTGCGTGCCTACAGTGTTTGTGGCCTGATTTTTCACTAGTATTTACAGTCGAAAGCTGTGTGTTGTACAGTAGACACGTGTTTAGTGTTGGGAATGCTAAAAATAAATAAATAAAACATGAAGCTCTGCATCTTATCATCCATCACTTTATGTGTCAGTCTGACAGCACTTGGCATCTCAGGGTGAAACTCTTTGTTCAGAGACACTTCTGGTTTCATGACAAAGTTAAATCACCAATGCACTCTTTATTATTTTGATCCAGACTTATCATAATATACTGTAGTTCAATCTCTCTGATTCGTAGTAAAAATGTGTTGATTGTAATGTTTTTATCAGCAGTCAAATCAGCTGAATGATCATATGAGCATTTATAACATTGTTGTTGTTAGAAGTTTCAGAAACTATAAGAATGAGCTGAAGGTTATTTGTACTCACACTTTATTGTAACAACCCTCCCAGCCATCATTTCATAATCCAACATTTTAAATTTAAATTTCTAAATCTATCTCCACTCTCATTGGAGCTCCAATTGCAAAAATGCACTGTACATATAAAGATTTAACTTCACCTTTGGAAAATCACCTTACTCAGACCAAATGACTATCAGCAATATATGTACAAAAAAAAAAGTAAATGTGGTTGAATTTCAAAGCTCTCCAGCAGCTCTTATTTTATAAAACAGGAATAGGATTTATTTCTTTTATAAAGATCAGATAGGAGATTTCCCCCTGAATGGATGGCCGTGTACCGTGGCTGTCCAACCCCTTCTTGTTAACTTCCTGTGTATTGTTGTCATTTGGTTTAGGTGTGTCTTGAATGCTGATTGGGAGAGAGATGCAGGCAAAGTCACCGTTAATGGGAAGTCACCTCCTCTGGTGTCTCATATCCTTAAATCGCTGTGAGGGAGGACAAGCTGCGTCAGTTTCCTCTGTAGAGCTGACACGAGACTTCACACACACGCTGAGGTAAGACCACTGACAACTAATGCACTATTACCTTAAACACTGCTATTTAAATACTCCCTCCTCTCATAATCCTGCATTAAGTCATGTCAGTCTACTGTAAAAGAAAAACAAACAAAAAAAACCTATCCTGCTCTCACCTAGCCTGCCCAGACAAGACAACCCCCTAGCACCTCATCCAGGGCAAGAAGCTCCATGTCTGTGTGGTCAGGAGTCCAGACCCATCGAGCCCACTGAACAACCACATTTTCCTCTGTCACATGGACAGTGGTAAGTCCATCAAGCCAGGATGGCTACAGGGATCACAAACCAGTTCTGAGACCCACTGCCAATGTCTCAGATCTCAGCTCAAACCGAGAGCCCCAATCCCCACTGTGAGCGCAGCCCTGCAGGGGGAAGGTTGCCGGGGCAGCTCAGAGAAAGAAGCATCACTGTGGGGTGTGTGGGCATCTGCTGCTGGCTGGGTGTCTTGGCTGTCTTCTACCCGCTGATTGCCTTGGGAGTTGTATATGGCAGATATTGTGACTGGAGAGTGCTATAATGTGTGGGGCAAAGAAATGGACATGGATGACCCATGTGTATTAGAGAATGTGAACTTAAAGGAATGTACTAGTAGTTGTCCATGTTTTATCAAATTATTTATGAATTACGTATACATTTCTGATATTTTTCATAGCATATCATATGATAGTTTTTAGACTCATTTCTTATCTTTCACATACTGTATGAAAAAGAACTTGCAGAGAAGTTGAATTTGCTTGAGAGGCAATCCATTGCAATGCACACTTCACTGCCTTTATTTTAAGACGCACATTTGAAGTACCTACACCTACTGCAGTTGGGAGCGGGGACAGTATTCAAAATCTCTGCTTGAGGTGTAAGCAAGCAAGCAAGCAAGCAAGCAAAGCCTTATTTCATTCCAGGTGGAAGCACAATGTGCTGTATAAAGCCTGAGCTACCACTGAAATTGCAACCACAAAAACTATATTTTCAAGGAACCCCCAGCATTCAAGAATTAATAGTGGCAGTCCATTATTATTGCATTCACCAGTTTTCTTACTGGAAAAAGGAAACCTCGAAGACAAACAGTGACACCAACTGACCAATACACGACATGAATGTGTTTATTGCATTACTGCAATGAAGCAGTACACTGTATAAAAACAATGTATTTAGTAAGTCTGTGAGGTGAGTGATTTTTGTGGAATACTAAAAATCAAACCAGTTGCTTTGTGAATCTTCATCTGAATAGAACATGCACAGAATGCTTTGAAAAACTGACACAATCAGGAAATTACTGGGATAAAACCAAAGGCTTTATCCTACCATGCAGTGGTACACCTGCTTGTCACGTGAAAGCCAAGTGAGAAAATAAATTTACCTTGTCAGCAATACTGATGTTCTAAAGAACCCCTTTGGTGCCATTCATACTATGTCTGATTCACTATCATCTGTGTGAAGAGTAACTATAAATTGTATAGCACTCCTAAAAATGTACGCTTTAATGTCATGTGCGCCACCTTGTGGCATGATAGTAAAGTGCTTGTAATGAAGTTCAAGAATATGAAGTCAATTTGCTTTTTACATAACCTCTAGTTAACTGTGTACATGCTGCTATTTAATCCAAAACTGCCTAATATTCAACTATAACCGTCAGATCAACATAATTTAATTTAGTGTTCACACCCAGTGTTGAAAACAATAACCATGTACATTTAATCAAAAACTATAGTTGAGCAATTTATGTCACTTGAGAATTTCCATTTTAAGGTACTTTTTATTTCTACTCCTCTATATTTTGGAGAGAAATATTGTTGTTCTTACTATGCAGCATTTTTTGTCAGCTATAGTTACTAGTTACTTTGCACCTTCCAGTATCAGAGTATTTTTGATGCTGTTTTTTGGTACTTTTACTTAAGTAAAGGAACTGATTCCTTCATTCATCAGTGACCTCACCAAAGAAAAGTGACCAAAAAAAAAAAAAATCAGTCTGCATTGTGGATCAATGTTAAAGCCTGTTATTCATTGCAAACATTTATTACATTTTTTATGATGCAAACAACAGCAAGTCCCACCCTTGTTGGAACAGCTCATCACGTAGTCATGAGGGAATGAAAGAGACACAAAGGGACAGGGACAGAAAAAGTGTGTATTACGCGCAATTCCATTGTTTCCTTTAAAAAAACATGACAATCAGCTCTCATTGTAAATTTGGCATCTTCTTTCCTACTGTTGTACTCTCTGGAATAATGGTCATTAAAAATCAAAAGAACAAGGCATGCATAATAGTTTCTGGTAATGCACATAGATCAAAGGATACCACTTATAAATACAAAATCCATGTACGATGTTCGTGTACATTTCATATATACATGGTCCCTTTCTTAGAGGTGTCATAGGTCTATCTACCTGCTCCCACTATGGGATTGTGTCCTCTGTTATCTACGCTTGGTCACTAGATTCACCCTGTAAAAAGGTCTGCGCTGCAAATTACATCTGTAGGATGAACAATTAATATCAACGACTACTAGATGTTACAACCATCGGTTTATTCCTCCCTTCATCTCTTACTGCATGTTATTATCAAGCTATTTACTCAAAAGCTTCATTTACTTAAATAGTTTTCTTTGCATCAACTGACCATTGTGCTATCTACATGATTCCATCAAACCTCGCTGGGGTTATAGCCAGTATTATTTTTCTATTAAAATTCTCCTCCCATTGCTTTACTACCACCCCATGCTTCTCTTTAAAAAAGGGAGCCCACAGTTAACGTAGATCCATTCAATGCTACTGTGCCCACAAGATATAAGTCTGGAACAAAGTATTTTAACTTCCAAGTAACCTAAATAAATGGATCACTAAGGTAAATGCACTGGTCCATTTTAATAAATGAGTGAAACAGCCACACGTCTATAGTGAGGGCTGTATACGTGGCCACACATTTTATTTATTGAAATTATGTAGAAAAAAAAGGAAAAGAAAACAAAAAACAAAAAAAAGGGACTAACCAAAACGCAGTGATTAAATACAATGTTGAATGAATGTCTTTACTGTTAAAAAAAAAAAAAAAGTGTACTGCAATGTATACAACTATGTTGCTCTCTGTCATTGCTCAAAATGAGATGCAGAGGGGGAAGAGGCGCCAGGGATTTTGATACATGTACAGATTTACAGTTATAACGCATCTATCATCACACTCAACAGATGGCAGGAAGGGAGGGAGAGAGGGCAGCAAACGACAGACACAATATAGAAAAGATTCATCCGTTTGAATTCGAACACCCTTTGCTGTGGAACCGATGCTATGCTACTCTCTTAGAAAAAGAAAGAGAGATAGAAACGAGCGAGTATGTGTGTGTGTGTGTGTGTGTGTGCGCGCGTACAGGTATGAATGCTGTAAGTGCGGAACCAAATGTTCGACCAATAAAAGTCTATTGGGATCAAGTTGTACTGGTTTCTCTGAAGGTGGAGGCAGACTTGTTTAACCAAACATGGGGCTGAGTATGATGGTACTGGTGGCAACGGTGGGCGTCTTGAGTGGTTGGGTTTAGCGCCCCCCTGATGGTGGTGGTGGTGTTGGTACGTTATGGCAGCTTGGCTTCTTTAGTCGATGTACTGGGAGAGCCAGCGGAAGCCCTCGCCGTAGCCCTGCCTCTTCAACACACTGCACATGAACACCTCCAGTGGTCTTGTGTTCAGCTCCTTCATGGGAATGTTACCCTGAGAGAAAAGCAGGAAAAAAACTCAAACTAAATCTACTTTTATTTATAATTAGATTACAAATTTATGTCATTTGCAAAGCCATGCGCTGATATAAAAAAACAAGTAAAACAGAAATCAGCTCTTGTGGGACACTGAGTTGTAGCTTGAAAGTTGTAACTTAATGAGATCAAGAGCAAGCTCTCTAGGTTTAAATACATCTCTTGAATATGTAAATATGTAAATAGTTCTATTAATTGGTGAAGAAGGTAACTCCAAGAAAAATCTCTATCCCACAAACTAAAACTTGACATTTGTTTTTTCTTTTTTAATACTTCAGCTTACACATGGCCAGCCAGCAGTAATATATTCCACCAGGACTGCGGGGACTTGAGTCTGTTTTGACACCTAACTGAATAACTTGGCAGTGTCAGTGTACTGGGGTGGCGACTCCTCCGTCTACCTTTGGCTCTTCATGCAGTCTTTTCTTCGGTCAAGTCTCTGGTAATGACTTGACGTGGTATCTTTCTTTTCATTTGTTTTATACACTTGTCTGACTTATAATAATTCTAAAGACAATATGTCTAAAATAGGGTATAACATACTGTCCTGACACATAACTGTTGCGTCTACTTACCTTGCCTGTCGTCTGTCCGTACAATCCAAACATTTCCCTCAGCCTCTCCTCGCTGATGGCTTCTGATCTGTCGATCTTGTTGCCCAGGATCAGGATAGGCACATTTCCGATGGTCTCGTCTGTCATTAATGCCTAGGAGGGTAAAATTATATTACTATTTGGTTTTCACTCTTATCCTTAAGATGATCAAGGAAAAAATCTACCCTGTTACACATCAACCTGTGATGTTTGAATGATATCTAGAGTCTTCCAGGAGTTATTTAGTTAGTGTACTACTAATTTCCAAAATTTCCCTGAATTACACTGGGGTTATCCTGAAAGAATTGGACTGGGTTATATATGTAACTGGTAGAGAGCCAATGCATGGCAAGATTTTTAGTAGGTACTTAAGTCAGACAGGAAATGAAACAATGCTGTGATGAGCTGTGCCCACTTATTGCTATCAGACAGGGTATTGTATTTCATGAGCTATTGTGAGAGCAGAAAATCATATCTTTGCCTTGTGTGCAATTACTAAACATTTGTGCTCAGAGGTGACTTTAGAAAAAAAAACACCTTGTTTCATTTCTGAGGGATGTTTCCATGTTGTTTATAGATACAAAAATCAGTTTGAATCAATTTTTTAAAAAGATTTTTTGTGCAACATTTAACAGTTTTTATTACATTATTTCTAACTTTCTAAACAAAGCCACAGATTAAAAAGAAATCACAACATAATTTTTTTTTCCTCGAAATTCTTATAACAACTAACCTACCACTATCTCTACTTTGCTGATGCCATAGACACATTAAAACAAATAATTGACCAAAAGTATGCATTTTTTATATAGTTTAGGGAAGTTCTGAATGTTGTAAAAAGCACAGCTCTACAGTGACATGGTAGCAGGTACTTACATCAAGTTCTGCTTTTGATTCGCCCAATCTAATGTGGTCCGCACAATCCACAAGGAAGACAATGCCATTAATAGCAGGGAGGTAGTTTTTCCACACTCTGCGGGCTGTATGCACCGATTAACAAAAACACAAAAATAAACATGAGAGTTTTACAATGGTATATTGTATAGGCCTTATGTTAGCAAGACTTAGGAGAGAATTTCCTTTATGCGCTGCAGAAATTGCATGCTGCTTTTTCTGCTTATATCACAATCATTTTATTTCCAGATCATATCTGCAGTGAAAAATATAGTATCAGGTCTTCACTAAATCACAACCAAAAAAAAAACAAAATATATTAGTATTCTCTCTCACACACACACTCTCTCACACTCTCTCACACTCTCTCACACTCTCTCACACTCTCTCACACTCTCTCACACACTCACACACACACACACACACACACACACACACACCTTGTGCGTGGCCTCCAAGGTCGAAAGTGGTGAAAGTCATGCCAGCAATCGTCAACTCTTCCGAGGCTGGAGGAAAGAAAATAATCATTAACAAATCTGAAAAATGCAGCATCACTTAAAAATCACTGACACACAAAATTGTTTAGTGTATCTACACATGTAAAGAATGAATGAATATGTCAACAAAATGTCCATTCAATAGGACTGTTTGAAAATGTCCATTTAAAAATGGATAACAAATGTCTGTGAATAATCAACATGACATGATTCTTTTTTTTTTTTGTACGGATGGCTTTAAAAACATTACTGAGTGAGCATCTGTGGATGTGCATGTGAGAGAGAGAGAGAGAGTAGCACCAACTCACTTGGATGTAAAGTTGGCACATGCTGTCCCAATCTGTCATCTTTGAGCATGTGCAGTAGCGTTGTTTTGCCAGCATTGTCCAGGCCAAGAAATACTAACTTGCCGGATTTCTTGTACAGTCCTGAAACAAAGCCAGAAGGATTTTAGAACGTAAGCCTGGACACTAGAAATCTCTTTAGATGGGCAGAATCATAATATTCAACGTTCAGTCTTTGGGAATTTCACACATACGAAAACCTCGCCCATTTCAGTTTGAAGGTCTTTCATGGCTTAAGAACTAAAACATAAATGTGACACTTGACTTGCCAAGCTCAGACTTGTTCTCAGACATGTACTAGATATTCAGATCACACATATAAATATTGTCCTTGATGCACAATGAAAACAGTGGCTATAGTCCACCTACTGATTTTGCCATTCTCTAATCTCTACTTAACATTATGAACATTAAAAATTTAATCCCCCCTTGCTCAAGTTAACAAAAGTTGTTAGGCCCCCTCGATTGGACCGGGGGAGCATTTTCTGCTGTGTGGAGTTGTAAAAAGTAAGTAGAGGTCAATTTGCTTTTCAATGAAGGAATGACATTCAGTCAAACTGATAACTCACTATTTGTCACAACAAAAACACCTTAAATTTAAATTGCACAAAAATGTTTTATGCTTTAAATGGAAACCAACCAGATTTTACTCTTCCCGTCCATTCTCACTGATGGGCGTAGTGCCTAGCTGAATACACAACAAGGGTTCAACTAAGGTTCCTACTTCCTCCTCCTTAACTTTCCTGACCAGATTACAAGGCTGAGTTTACTACTCTGAGTCAGCGTAGAAATACCCAGTTAATTTGTGAAATTTCTGCTTCACTCAGCTCAAATAGATGTCCTTATTACTCACAACAGCACTATCTATGCAACCTGTCTGACAGGGAGAACAGGAATGACTGCTTCACAGGAGCAGCTCTGACACAGAAACTAGAACAGCACACGCTGGGGAGGAGAGCAGCTGGTACACATAACAAGAGTTTCCAGCAGATCTGAAATGGACACTTTCATCACAAACTAATGTAAAAAGCTGGGTTGAAAAATCACATCATGTTTGTCAGAGACATTTCTTTTGTGTGCCTTTCATGACATATGCCATTTGGTGGATGCTTTTAGCTGAGCCATTTTACAGAAACATGAGTTGCATGTGTCATCCCAATGGGAACCAAACCCATAAGCCAGCTTGCGTTAATACTTTCACCAAGGAGATATAAAGGGCCCATTGAAGCTATACAGAAGCATTTAAAGAATTGTGGCCAGTGATGATGCTAATTCATTCATTTCTTACCACATGGGCCACATTAGAAACTCATCAGTGTGAAGAGGGCCTTGTGATGAACTTTGATTATCAAGTAAACTGATGCATTTGCAGTACAAGGGCTTTAGCACAGGACACAAATTTGCTGAAAATGATTTATTACATAAAATTTTGTAGTGTAGATCTGCTGTTAAGAAGTGGCGCCTGCTGAGCCATCAGGGTATTTGTGTTTCAAATTTGTGTCTGCGGGCACACAGTGAACAAACACTTAAAGAGAAACTCCTTTTCTTCCTATCACTTTCTCCCACGACAGCAATGGATTTCTAGGAACAAAGCCCACTATTGTGCACAAGTCTTAGCCCTGCTTTTCACTGTACATCTGAGGACTGAGGTGTAAGACAGACCAGTAGTTGTAACAATGAAAGTTCTTCTTGTGATCATTGTGAATTCCTGTAAGTTTTTTTTGTAAGTGTTTAATCACTATTACTCACCTAAAAACTGTAGAACGCTATTGAAACTGCTATAAATCCAATCGAATAGGAATGACATATCCGGAGCTGTTGAATCCTGAAAAACAACAAATGGGAAAAAACAGAGGTAAGAAGAAATAAACATACACCGAAGCAAATCAAGAACTTGAACATGTTATTTTAGCTGTATCATCTATCATTATCCTACAGCGAGTGAGCGAGATTGAAGCAGGTACAAGTTGTCTAATGTTGCTACATTTTTTCATTTCTTCCACTCAGAATATTTATCAATAACTTATTACGTTTTATTTATTTTTGTACGAGGTTGTCAGTGACCTTATACAGTGTCTCTGTTCTAATAGAGATGGTATACAGCACAAGGTGCATCGAGAAATGAGTGTCAGCACTAAACTGTTGTTGGCAGGAAACCTAGGGGGAGATTTGGACAGTTCCTCTCTTTATCCCCAACATGAACAAAGTGTTGAAGTTCAACTTGGGGCTGAACGAGATGAAAAAAAAAAATTCATATTGTGATTATTTTTGACAGACATTATGATTGCAATATCAGTCACGATTCCAGTGGGAGGCGTAATTTTTGCATTTCATTTTCATAAAAAAAAATATAAAAATTATGACGGGGTGATATTCGCTGGGGTGTAAGCATATTCCCTTACATCTGGAGAATATGACCTGTAGGCCGGAGCATCTGTTTAAATTTAAATTTTGATGAACAGTATAATGCCAAGGTTGGAAATTTACCGTACATATTTGGTAAGATTACTTACATATATTATATTAAATCCATCCATATATTACTTACATCCATTCAACCGTAATTGGTATTCACTTCATAGTATTCAGATTTAAAAAAATACATATGCAGTATATTTTTTTTTCCAGTGGTGCACTGTTGACTAAATTATGGTTTAATATCTACATTGATTACAGGCCCAGAAGGAAAGGTACCTGAAAACACCAACAAATGAACAGAACATAAATAAAGGCAACAGGAGACAGACAGTAAGATCGATAAGAACCAATCAGCAGCTCTCACCGCAAACCTTGTAAGAGTGACGGCACTCAGCTCTTGGAATATGAAGCCTGCCTCAACCTATCAGACAGCCATTTAGAACTGGTGATAAGAGCAATGAGTGGCTTTCTATAGCCAATGATAAGCTTGTTCCAGTAGGAGTCTTTGGACAGGAGGACAGAAGATTCAGAACACTGATCACATACCATCCTCAACAGGCAACATGAGTGTTTTGTTCACCACAAGCCATCTGCAAGGGCCTTGGAAATTAAGCCCAGTCTTAGCCTTTCAAGATAAACTAGCCAGGATGTATTTCAATCAAAACAAAATGGATGTGAGCTTGGGCAAGCTGTATCTGTGTGAAATCAACAGCTCACTGACTTGCTACATGCAACAGCTTGTTATTTCTTCGTAGGAAAAGCTGTTGTTTTGTTGATTTGTCATTCTAGTTCACACAAGCGTCTTTTTTTCCCTCTTTTAAATTTCATGTGATCAGTGCTTCAACAAATGTCTTGGTCATGAATATCTGAGAAAAGGGGGGAGGAAAAAAAAAACCCAACAAACTTCCTCACTCTATAACCAAATGAGAAGCTTTTGGTTACATCAAAATTCCTCCCCCCATGAAACCACAATGTTTGATCCACTGAAGACACACACAGTTTACCAAATTCATCTCATTTTCTCAGTGACAGTTACAGAGGCATCAGAACAAGGCAAGCTGGTGCTGACCTCTAGCCCTTGTTACGTAATGTGCAAACAACTCCAGGGCTAAAGTATAAGGTAGCCAAAGTTCAAGACCACGCAAATACAGCTGAACTACACGTCAGTTGCTGCTATGCTCTAGTCCCATATGCTGCCACTCTCATTGGCCTCTAAGACACTGTGGGTTAGCATTACAGTCCTATGCTCCCACATGTGGCGTGATGCAGCTGGGAAAGTGAAATAGTTTGACAGTTCACTGTCAACAAGCAGGCAAACATGGGTCAATATATTCATGTGTGTTTAAAGCAAGCACGACCAACCACATTAAAGAAGGACTTCAACTATCATTATCTTGTCATTTAATCTTATTTTCTTGATTAACTGATTCTTTATTTGGTACCCAATTAATTTCCCTATGAATGACTTATTGATTAATCAATTAATTATTGCAGCTTTATACTAAAATGAAAATGATAAAAAGGTTTGCCAAAAATTGCTGATTGTCAAGTTAAGTAATTTGGAAGTGTACAGGAAGAATATGGTTGGAAAAGCCCTTAGAGCTAGCTAGAGCATCTGTTCTTAATAAAATCTACCAAATGATTTAATGAGCATAGTTTCAAGTTTAGTGTACTTACTCAAAAATCACCAGGGTACACGTGCTGACAGTTTGTCCTTATTGCTATTCACCTTCTGAACTATTTCTTCCGTTTCTGAAGAACATCCGTTAATGTTTCCCAACACTCATATAATAAGGATTTGAAAATGTTATTTATGTGAACATAACAGTGCTGGTTTAGAAATGTATTTAAGCTCACAAATTAAGATGTAGAACACATTTTCTCCCTTGAAACATTATCTCAATTAATTCCCATTTACTCGGCACTCTCAAGCAGGCGTTGTGATTTCATACAGATCCCATGAAAAAAGTGAGTCCCAAACATTATAAAGACTCTGAACGCAGGCTGTCAAACCAGTTATCACAACCACTGTCAACGTAGCAGATTGCTAACCTTTACCTTAACGGCTAACGTTACATGGATGATTCATCTCCAACAGATTACGTGTTGGCAAAACAACTAAAAGGGCCAAATTATAAGAATAATAACAAGTCAAATGAAAACTAGACATATACGTTAAGCCTAATATTATAAAGCTAGGGTGAGGCCGGCTAACAGGCTGGCTAGCAGGAAGCTACTAGTTACGTGTCATATTCTCTAAGAGGCGACGTTGCATCGAGAGGATACTAGCTACGTTAGCTACTTAGCAGTTAGCTAGAGAAATAATTCACCGACGTACCACCAACAACAGAAACGTGTGATCGTACTAGTTTTTCCCGTCTGATAACAAATGTGGATGTTAAAATAAATACAACAGCGGTTCAACTACGGGTTCAATCCAACTAGAGTCCTTGATAATAAGCGAGTTAGCCAACTTGGTAGTAGCAATGCTAACGTAGCATCGTTAGCAGCCGGGATAATTTTCTAGCCGTGATGCCGACCGCTCACATTAGACTCCTTTTTGATCGCCGGGGAAAATATGTATCAAAAAAATACTTACCCGTTATTTAGGTGTAGATTGATTTAACGAGTGCGTTCGCTCTTATACTCATGTAAATTGGTCTCCCGGTCAAAAAAGAGAGCCTGCGAGATGCCAGGTCTTCCTCTCCTTTTTCGTGTTTTGTTACTGAGCCACGACACTGCAATGGCTGTCCAACAACTCCCCAAAACTCTGCCCAGCCGCTTCCTGTTTATGTTTCACAATAATCCTTCCGGATGGAGAACTGACATACACCGAGGGTCCAGAGCTCTTAATTTATAATTTACAAACACATATCTCACTGGGTTTTCCCATGCAATATTTTTATGAAGATGCGTGTCACTGGTTTATAGATCAAACAAAACCACAAACGATTGCAGTATTTACTTTCTCGCTTGTAAAGTCATTTAAAATAATCGTCCTAGTCTTAAAAAGACTAAAAAATGTCACTTATTCTATGGGTGACCATTACTCTTGTGATTGTTTGAATTCTAGATGGACATGAGTATTTATATTTAGCCAATTCCGTCACGTCCAACTAAATGAGCAAATACTATAATAAGCGGTGGTTGTGCATAAATTCGAAGATTTAAACAGGTAAATAAATTCTCTCTTCTTGTTCCTAGTACGCTTGGAAAATCCAGAGCACAAGAGGAAATGCCACGTGTACACACTGCGCATGCCCGAGGATTTTTACGTTGATCCTGCTGGGTGATCCCAACTTCCGGTGAAAGAGGAGAAGTGTCTCACACGATTACTCTGACAAGGCCTGTCGTTACTCACCCGTAGCTAGTTGAACGGGGTTTCGGTAAGAGCCATGGCCCTGTGATTGCCAGCAAGTCAGCTAATTAACTTTTTTTAAAAAGAAACTAGGATAAGTCGCCGTTGGCGAGGCTTTGACTAAACGTCACATCGTCAGAGTCACAGGTTTGAGTGTTACCCCGCGACTGCCAGCTAGTTAGCTAGCTAAAGACGCAGCTAGCTATTCGCCGACCAAGCACCTCTAAATTAGATCCTGGTGTCTGTTTCAAGATGTCAACTGCGGGGTTCAACTCTCAGAATGGGACAGGGACGGGACAAGCATATGCGAATGGTGAGTAACGTTTAAATTAAGGTAAAGTTAGTTCAAGGCGGAGGCTCCATCAAAGCAAGTAACAAGCTAACACTAGCAGTAGGTAGTGGATCTTGTCTCTGTGGCTATTTGCTAACTGCTGGCTAACTGCTTTGCTTAGTAACGCTGTAACTTAAGGTACCCAAGCAAGAGCGAGCTGTCAGGCACAGTTATGCAGGGATAACGGTGATTAATCTTGAGCTGATTTACTTCACTGACTTAAAATGTCCAAAATAGTTGCTATCGTAAAGGTACGCTAATCACAACTATTTTGCTCACCAAATTTAGCCAGTGTTCTTTACCTTTGGGTTTTCGAGGTAGCAAACTAACAAGTTGACAAACAGAAGGATGAACACTCATCATAACTTTTGAGCCAGGTGTAAACACTAAACATTTCGGCGATGATATGATCGCACCCTTAGGTTAACACTTGTATTCTTGCCCGTAGGGTTGCTTAGTTAGCCAGAATTTTCCTATCATATTAAACCACTTAACGAGCTTTGGCTTATCTTTTCGCTTCTGTTTCCCTCAGGTTTTTCTTGTTTAGTTTCATTGACACTGAGTATTCCCATTTGTAGGTTTATAACTTCCTTTGCTGTTGTGCATTACGTTTTTAGCATACTAAATAGCCCTGGTGTGTTTGCGTTGTACGTTATACTGTACATGTGGCACATTGGGGATGATCCAGATAAGTTGCTGCAGTGATTTCTCCAGGCTCAACCTATTGCCTACTTCAATTTAACATTACTTAAGAATTTCCAATGGATTTCCATGAAAGCTGAGGGAAAAACAATATAATCACAGTCAGTGACAGTTGACAAAAGTGTGATTGTGTGCAGTTTTCAGCAGCGTTTCTTACCGATGTGTATGTATGAGGCAGCTCTCTTGTACTGGGCAGAGGAAACAACTGCAGACAGAGGTTGTAATACAGCAGTTGGATTTTCCAAACCTGCAGATAAATGTTTGTCTGAACTTCCAAATGTTTATTGCATTTGCCTCTAGTCTTATTCCTATCTCTATTGAATTAGATAGTCATTAAAAGGTGTTAATCCAGCTCTGATCAATGTGGAAACAGGGTGTTTTTCTGACAATAGAAACAAATCATAAAAAACATGCCACTAAAGCTGAATGGGATGAGTTTTCAGAACAATATTTGTAAATTAATTCCTATCATAGGATATCTTAAAGGTGAATGAATAAATCAAAGCTGAAGTAGCTTTGTAGTCAGCCATGAGAAAGTGATCAGCATGTATCTCATTTATATAGTGCTACACCAAAATGAGTCCACATGTCCCATTTGGTTTCCACAACTGGTGAGCATAATATAGTTTGTCCGTAAGTTTCATGTATATAGACCGAAGGCAACTGTACCTGAGCCTACCTACTGTAGGCCCACAAAAGCTCACTTGAGTTTTCTTATGTTTGATATTCTTCCAAAGACTACAATAGTAAAGGCTTCCTTGGTTGACTCACTAGTAAACTTTACACAAGCAAAGTTAAAGATACAGTAAATAAGTGAAATGATGGGGATGCATTTTTAATAACTGCAATATCCCACTTCCTCTTAAAAGCCCTCATATTTGAACAAGAATTATGAGTTTTAGGGTTGGAGTTAAACTTCTCTAGACAGACATTAACCAGATATTTACCATTTCAACCCTCTTTTAAAAATTAAACTAACTTCATTTATGTTTTACCCTTCAGCAGGTTGATTTCTACTTAGCTGAGAGGTCTTATTCCACATCAGGCTCTTTCTGATTGGACAGGAGCTGAAACTGACTAGGAGCTTTAGTTGTTAAAATTTCCCTGCTCTAAGGAAGGACAAAGATTTGCGGTGGATTATGTGCCTTCATCTATCTTTGCTCATTGAGAAGAGTTGTTTTCTAATCCCTTCTCTCTCTGCCGACTTAGCTTTGCTTCCACTTATATAGTGTGGGAGTGGACAGTAGTGAATCTGTTTCCATTATGTATTCATTTAGGGTCCAGACAGCAGTATACTGATGCTGCAATTTAAGCGCTGATGCCTGTTAGATCATTATTTAGGTAACACATTTATTGATGTAAATTGTCACTCTGACCCTTTCTTTCTTTTTTCCTACTGACTAGATTTTATAAGTATTTCTGATCAGTGTTTTTGCTGTTAGCAAGATTATCTGCTATGCATGACACTGTTCTTGGTGTTTACATTTGGTATGTAGGAAATTGAGAAACAATCGCCAGATTTTAGTTTGGTATCTGCAAAATATACAATCAAAGCATTTTTAATTGTACCTGCAGTACAAGTATGTTTGGTGTTTTTTCCTACTGCTGTGTTCAACAAAGCGAGACTTAGTTCAGAGCCCCACACTCACTCTCAGCGAGGACAGATCATGTTGAATTAAATCCAGGTAAAGAGATTAGACCCTGGGCTGTCAGTTCATTGGTCATTTGGTGGATCTCAGTGCTTTTCACCCGGTGTCGTCACTACCATTACTGTGCCACCTGTTTTTCATGTATCTTTTTGAACAGATTTAAATACAAGGATTTGCTTTAATTAAAAGGTACTTGGATCATAAGCAAGAGCCCTTTCACACATGGAATCTGTAACATTGCTGGCTTCAGCTAATGGCTCAGCTTTTAAGATTTTGAACATAAGACTACCTTACAGAAATGTTCCCTAATGGCTCTGCTCAAGCATGAGAAGACCTGCAACTGCAACCCTTATGCACATTTTGGTATCTGGTACATAAGAGGGAGCCCAATAGCTTGTTTTTTTCTCAATACAGTGACAGCATTACTGGTGAACAGTTTAAAAGAAAAAAGACTGTTTAACATGAAGTTGACATTAGTTAGAAGTTTTCTTCCTCTGGTCTCCAGGTCCATCACAGAATCCAGTTGCCCTACAGCAGCTGCCAGGGGTCAGCTATGGCATGACCCACCAACCAGCCTACAATCCAATGCAGGCCAAAGCTCCCGCACCTCCCGGCCCTGGACTCTACCCCTCTGGGGCATACCAGCCTGTTCCCCCTGTCAGCTCCTACCAGCCTGGCCCACCACTCACTTCCTACCCAGCTTCCCCAGGCCAGCCACTGTTGACGAGGCCTCCAATGGGAGGTCCTCCATCTCATACCCCTCCTCAGTCTGCCAGCCCCAGCCCTGGTCCCAGGCTGCCCCCTGCACAGGCCACACCCCCCCCTCCTGCTGCATCTTCTGGTAGCTACTACTCAAACCCGCCGCAGCCTGTGGCTCCAGCATGGCAGTACAACACAGCTCCCCCACCAATGGGGCCACCCAGTTCCATGAGCACACCTCCCCGCGGACCTGTTGCAAATCATGTGAACCCAGCTTCAAGCTCTGCAGTGCTGCCACCACCATCATCGGCAGCTTACAGCTCTGCACCACCAGCCCACGTGTCCCATAGTGCCACCCAACCTCCAGGCCCCAGGATGCCCCCCACCTCTCTGCATGGATATATCCAGCCAGGTAGGAACGCAAAGGCTCCACTGAAAGCCAAACTTGTAACAATCAGTGTAAAATCCAAATGCACAATACAGTTTTACTTTCAAATGAAGGATAAAATAATCACATGAAGATGAGGCAACAATTCTGAGTTGTAGCACACTTATGATGCAGGCACTCCTCAGGTGAAATCAATGAAAAGATGAATCATCTTTCAAGTTTCAAAGTATAAGAGCAGTGAACTTTAGCCAGTTAATCTCAGGGGTTGCACCATCACTTAATTTCTTTAATTATTTTTAAAACATGGACTAAACGTAGTCTGTATTTCTAAAACACCCACGCTGTCCCGTTCTAATAACATTCCTATAGCACGATTATTGTGTCTTGTGTCTGTTTATCGTCGTTGTCTTCTTTCAGTGACGTGCTGCAGATATTCATATCTAGATTGCTGATATGTTGGAGCTGGACATTGCCCTCTGCTCCTACACTGAACATGTTGGCTAGCTGCTGCCTCTGGCTCCCTCCCAGGCACAGAGTCTCATTCACTCTGAATTTGTACAAAGTTCAAAAAAGAATTTTATTGTTTCCAACCTGATTCTTATGTAGCACTATGACGTGGCTCTTAGGACAAAATTCAAATTTCAATTTTAGTCTCTGATGCTGGTTGTATATTTTACATGATTGTTTTCTACTGATGATACAAGCAGAATGCACACAACAGTTATCTCAAGGGCATTTAAAACATTTTGATGGATGCAGGTAGTAGTTTAATTTCTCGCTATGGGAGTTTAGGGGTTGTCTCCACTGAGAAGTAGTTAGCTCATAATGTCAAAAACAAAAGACAATTTATAGAGAATCTTAGGAACTGTGTATGCCTACTAGTCATGAACATTTCTCTAAAGGAAGTAGTTTTGCTCAATGATATGAGCATGATAAAAGTTGGTTGTGTAATCTGTGTAACAATGTCTGCATGATTTGTCATATCACTTTGTAAATTAACCTTGATTTTTTTGAAAGCCGTCTTTAGTACACTTCTTTTGCATTGAATCGGGGGGCCCATGATTGCCTCCGTTAGCAGCATATCTCTCAGTCTTCATCAGATCAGATTGGCTTGAAAATTTCCATTCACATTCACACCGCCAACAATAAGAGTCTGCTTGAGTTTAGTGACCTTTCCCCCAGCAGCACCATTTGGAACCTTTTACTCAGTACAATGTTGAAAGTGAAAATGGTGGCTAACTGGAGATTTGATTTGGTTTTTGTTGAGATGTATACTTTATTGACTGCTTTCTTGCCTTTTTCGTCCTGAAATGTTACACATTTCACCACCAGCCACAATCATCTTGCTCAATTAAGTGCGCAGGTCTATATTGCTTAGTCTCCAGTATTAACAGTCACTAAGTATTTCATCAGTAACATGTTTAAGAATAAATGTGAAACGTTACAACATCAATATAAAATGCAAAAATGCACTGTGTGCGAAATAGTAAATTTATTTTAGTCGTTAATCAGCTTCATCTCAGTCTAATCTCTAATCTAATCAAAATCTTTACCTATGCTCCTGTAATTATAGATGTTTCCCTATAAATAGATAATTATTTGGTGTGTAATCAACCTGGGCATTTTAATATACCATGCCCCCAGTGAACTGTAAAAAAAATTGGTGCTGTCTACACCATATACTCAAAAGTTAACCTGCTTACTGCCGTTATTCATCAATAAGTTTGTCAGGAGTTTATTTGGGTCCAGATATTTGAACTATCTGGTTTGTCCATAGAGATGGATGTGGCTCTATCTCTGCACTCACATTAGCTTGCTGTGGGTCAGCTGTTGTCGCCTCTAGTCAGACTTATAATATTACAACACCTCTGTGATGCCTCATATCTGTCTTCTACATGATATGTGACAACACCACATACTACTCTTGTTTTACACCACACAGTAACATGATTTTAGAGGTCATAACTCTTCCTAAATTACCTCACTAACAACACAGTGTTGTCATCTCACAAGAATTACTGCTGAAGCAATAAGTAAATTGAAAAAAAATTATTCAACAGTTTTGATATATGATGCAAACAAACAAAGATGAAAAATAGTTCTGCTTCCAGCTTTAAATTGTGGACTTTTTGATATTTAAATTGTGATGAACATTGTTCACTTTTTTATGTATGAGAGTAAGTGATTCACCAAAAAGTAAAATCAAAATGTATCAATACATTAAATAAACATGCATAAATCTGTGAAGAAAATAATCATTAGTTGGAGCCCTGACAAGGTCTTTATCACCAGGCACTGCACCTCCACCAATGAATCCCATGGCTTCCCAAACATACCAGCCAAGCAGACTTCCCTATGGGCTCCCAACTACAGGACCCCCACCTACAGGCCCACCACCAGCCATGAAACCTACACCACCTCCCACTGGACCCCCAATGGCCAATGCCACACCTCCACCCCCCAAAGCTGATGGTAAGATTTTCTAAAATTTAGTTTGTTTTAAATCTTTACACATTTAATTGTGCTTTTTCTTTGTTTATGACAGTAAGTATGACAGTGAGTATATATTTGTTGGAACCCTTTGTATATTTATAATATATATGTATTTTTTTTATAATTGGTAATTCAATTTGAGTTGTCTTAAAGGTGCCAGCGGCTTTCTTAAATGAATTATTAAATGATATTGTATAAGGTGCTCGACTGCAAATATTTTCATTGTCAAGTTCTATTTGACAAATATATAAATGACCAATGTATACAGCTCCATTGCTTCAATTTGTGCCAAACAGATAACATCCCTCACTGACTCAGGTCAGGTTGGGGAGGCTGTGTGCAGCACTACAATGAAATAAGATTTTACCCATTTGGGGTAGTGAAAAAAAAGAGAGAAAATCAATACATGGTGGTCAGTGTTGATATTGTGATATAAATCAATGTATGGGAAACACTGTTATGTGATGATAATGAAATGTTTGAAGTATGAACATTTTGTGGGTCTGTGTTGATTGTAAAGTGAGAGTGCTGCCTGTGATGATCATCATATCACTTTGGACCAAAAACTGTCATTTTTATAAACTTTTTTTCTGATCACCTTCCGTTATTTCCCTCCCTCCCCTCCTTCCTCTACATGCCAGCTCAGTGTGGGGCGGCTGTTAACAGCACTCTTTCCCCCACTGAGCCCGACTGCCAGGAGGGGGATATTGAATGTCCAGGTGTGGCCAAATCTGTCAGTAGCTGTTAGATGCCGTGTCAGTGCTGTGATGCCCATCTTGTCCTCTCTGTGCTGTTTTCCATTGTATCCAGGGATGCACTGATTTTTTTTTTTTTTTTTTTTTTTTCTTTTTAAATCACTTAAACTGATAACAGATATGAAGCTCTACAGAATCAGCTGATGCTGAGCTCCAGTCTGTTACTTTTACAGAACATTGCAGGAAATATGAAAATTAATCAAGAAATTACCTAATTTGTTGCCTTACATAGAGGGCTCTATTTTAGCAGTCCAAAGCGAATGGTGTAGTGCATTTGCTGTTTAAACAACATAGATGCTGGACGGAAAAATTACAACTTTGTCTGTCGTAAACTAGTAAAGACACTTGCGTTTTGCTTTGCGCCGGGTGTAAGATAGGGCTGGGTATTAGTGCTTCTTTAGTCCAGTACTTTTTTTTGTATCGTTGCATCCCTGGTAACATATATTTCTTGTCATCCAGTCTCACCATATCTCCCATATGACCTCTGAATAAACATCGTACAAGCACCAAAGTAGAAATGTTTCCTGAAAACATCATGCATCAATTTCCATCATCAGCATCATCTTTAGTATTGTTGATAATGTTGTGCTTTAGTACCTCTTTGTGTATATCATGTACGTATCTTGCACTGTAGTTCATTTTATCCCGCATCCCCGCCGTCTGTGGTTGGCACACTGGAACAGAAGTAGAAAATTGAAAAGTGTCACTAAAATCATTCTTATCACATCTGTGTTTGCTTTGAAACAGGAACTGTGGCTGGCAATGGCCCCCAAGCATCAAACAGCTATAATCATGTTGACAACAAAATGGGTAAGGCCATTTTCTTTTCACACCAACCACGTTTCTGGGGTTTCATAGCAGCTACATATGCAGTAAATGAGCAAATGGCTTTCAATTCAAATTACAGTCTTTGGGGGATGCAATTACAAATCACTCATTGTCTTAGGTTTAAAAGATATGTCTAGCAATATTCTATACTTTTGTTATTGTCAACAAATCCCAGACCAAGACCAACAATGAATTGATCACAACTATTGTCTGTAGCCAGAGCTGATGTTGCTTATTCTACTGAGCCATTGACCTCCATTGTTCTCCACGAACTATTGAAAACACATCAGTGGGCTAAATCATTACACTGGGTAACATGTTCTGTCATTATCATGAAACACTTTTTGAGTCCCGAGCGTCGTGCTGTTTCGGATACTCATCAGCCACCAAATGTGCTGTTGGTTTTGGAAGAAAAATATAGACTAAAACCAGCCTTATCATTCTAAACCTTTCACTTTTTCAATAATCCCTACTAATCAGTGACTTATTTCTGTTTCCTTTTCCTCCACAGCTGGCCTGCCCCAGCCTGGACCACCTGGTCGACACTTGGGCCACTACCCCTCTCTCCCCCCTGGGTACCAGAACACCACGGCTCCCCACAATGCCGCCCCCCCCATGCACCCTGCGATGCAAGCTGCCACACAGCCTTACACTCAAGCACATCAGCCATACCAGCAGGTGAGAGGGAAGTCACACCAACTGTTGTACTGTTAGAGCATTTTGCATATATATATATATTTTTTTTTTAAACATGTTCTTTGTGGTTGTGGAGCAATGTGCTCTGCTATTTCTGTCATGCATTTGCTACATGCAAAACCCAAAAAAGAGTATATGGAAATGTTCTATGTGTATGTATAATGCATTTGTAGAAGCAAAATGTTAACAGTATGTTAAGGTGTGACAGAACCAACATACAGTTTGCTTTATTTCTTATGTGATATATATTTATTGTTTACTTTTTTCAGGATCAATTCGTCATATTGGTTTGTTGAAATATGCGGCTGATTGCTGTTGTTTTTTTTTTTGTTATTTTGGCTACATTATGACAAGATAAAAATTCTTCAATAAATAATTAAATCCTTTTGACTACAAAGCGGTCAGACTTGGATGCAGTCACAGAATCTACACCAGTCCATCAAAGCGTTGGTGGCCATCCATACTAAATGATTTGACATTTGGGATATAGATCAACTCTGTAACTTGCTGTTTTTCCTTCTCTCAGCCACCGGGTGGCCCAGGGCCGGCCCAGCTGAGCCCGTCCTTGGCAGCCATGAGCCTCCAGTCCACCACCCCAGAGGCCCTGAGAGTGGTCAACCTGCTCCAGGAGAGGAACCTGCTGCCACCAAGCTCGATCCCTGCCCCGACACCCTGCCTGCCCCAGGACCTGCAGAAGATTAACTGCAACCCAGAGTAAGCCATGGTGGACTAATCTCCAAGTGTTCATGTCTATGTTTATTCCCTTTCAATTGATTATGTTGTTATTCTTTAAAATTGATATCATTCTGATGTTAAGTATTTCCACTTAACACACACTAATCTTTCAAACTATGCTTTCTACACTTTTGCTTGTTAAATTATGACTTAAAGAGAAGCACTAGCTACCTGTGGTTTGGTTGCCATTTGTGTTACTGGACACATTTCCAGTAGATCAGCATAAGCATTAACTTGCCCTCAGTGACGTTGTTTATAGAAATTTAAAGCATGGCAATTTCATTTGATGTAGATTAAACCTCCAGATGATCATTTATGTTTTCATCCATCAACATAAGCTAGTCGCCCACATAATGTGCTGGTACACATGAAATACCGGAGACAACATGATCCTTCCTCATGCAGTTCAAGTACAATGACCTTCTGTGTTTGTGTGTCTCCAGGGTTTTCCGTTGTACACTGAGTAGTATCCCTCAAACCCAGTCTCTGCTCAATAAAGCCAAGATGCCGCTGGGCCTGCTGCTCCACCCCTTCAAAGACCTCTCGGTAACACCTTTGTTCAATATTTAATGTGCATGCGCATCAGTCATAGGGTGTACAACAACTTATTAGATTTCATGTAAATGTGAAACCTGGTTTACTAAGTTGGGGTAGGGTATTAAGAGGAACATGGTAAACACAACTATATTTTTCCTGGGATAACCATATTTTTCTGGCAATGTATGGGCTTAACCAGGCTATCACTAGTCGTAGCATGTTAATGAGAAAGACGTTTGACAGGGAAAGTATCTCTGTGGCAGCAGCACGTTGCTGTGCATCCTCGTATCCAAAATTATAAAATGCAAAATCGATCAACCTTATTCTTCTGGTTTCTTGTTTGTTCTTGTTTTGTATGGAAACATTGTGAGTAACTTGTAACAGAATGTTCAGTAATTCAAGTCCCAACAAAAATATAGTTAATAATATATAAAAGTTGCTAATATACCTCTTTTTACCTTTATAGGCAGTGGACTTCAGAGCCATTGATGTACATGAGGTCACTGGTTCTTCACTGTTCAATCACGAGGCAGCTAGGGTGTGAATCTGTATTTGTTTTATTACATCAACATGAAGGAAGGTGATGCCAGGATAAATTATTAGTATGTAATAAAACTCTTGCTGCACAAATTTACAGCCTCAATTATGTGTCTTAGATTTAAATAAAATTACTACATCAGACTTTCACTTATTAAACTCTAAGAATCCTCTCAATGCCTTTTTTTCAGAATAGGATATGACTAGATACACCTCAGGGCAAAATCTGTCAGAGTGAATTTGTGTATATTTCTGTGTTAACTGAGGACAAACAACAGAGACGATGCACAACGTGGACAGCGACAATGAAATTGGAATGCCAATTACAATGGGCTGGAATTGAGAAAATGAGCTTGCCTGGAGGCACTTCTCACACGGGCTGGTTTTGTTTTGTGGTTTTATTCTTGCAGCAGCTTCCCGTGGTGACATCCAGCACTATTGTCAGATGTCGGTCATGCAGAACCTATATCAACCCCTTCGTCTCTTTCCTGGACCAGAGGAGGTGGAAGTGCAACCTTTGCTATCGGGTTAATGATGGTAAGAAAGGGGAGAAGTGTGATGAAAGAGTTATGATGATCTGAAAGAGCTACTGTCAGTGAGAACGCTGGAGGCACTTGACAACAGTCAGAACTAATACAGCAGCAAAATGAACTTTCTGTTAAGTAACAAATGGAGAAAATGAAGAGCCATTTTTTTTAAGGAGCTGGTTGTGATGACCTACATAGATACGTAGATACATTATTTATCCCCTAGGGGAAATTCATGTAATAAAGATTCTATTATAAAGTTATGTCTGTTAAGCAACAGTCATATGAAATAGTTTGGGCATGACATTGACATCAGAAAGGCGCAGTTCGTCAGATAATTTTGATGACAAAAAAACAAAACCTTAGTGTTTGTTTTTTACTGTGTGAAAACCAGAGAAGTTTCCTTGAGCCCAACACTGAGTTTTTAGGGTAGTTTGGTGTCACAAGAAAAACTCAAGTTTTACTTTGTATTAGATAGTTTTAGAAACACACACGTTAATACATCTGTTGTATTTTGTATATTTGTAGCGTGTGAAGATCGTCCTAGCCTTTTCGTGCCTGTTTTGTATTTATTTTTGAAGAAATGTTCTAATACTGCCTTTTTGGCCAGATCTTTCTTAAAGAAGAGATTTTGACGTTGTGACTTTTTATGTAGTTAGATTAAGGAAAAAGAAGATGATTTCTTATTGTGATTAAATGATAATGATAATGATGCAGTGCATAAAGGCATGCATTTAAAGTGGATACAAATCTTTTTAAATCAGGAATTAAATTGCACAGAAAGTACATGGTAGATTATTTAATACTAAAATCTTGCTGGATGTTGTGTGTGTGTGTGTGTGTGTGTCTCTGTGTGTGTGTGTGTGTGTGCGTGTGTGTGTGTGTGTGTGTGTGTGTGTGTGGGTGTGTGTGTGTGTGTGTGTGTGTGTGTGTGTGTTTGTGCGTGCGTGCGTGCGTGTGTGTGAGTGTAGTTCCAGAGGAATTTATGTACAACCCAGTCAGCAGATCATATGGAGAGCCACACAAAAGACCGGAGGTCCAGAACACCACTATTGAGTTCATTGCTCCTTCAGAATACATGGTGGGTTTCAACAGCTTCATTGAGGTTATTCTGGTTGATCTGAACAGTTATCGGCACGCTCAGTTTTGTGTACAAATTGTATAGTAATCCAAGTTTGTGATTGATGCGTGTGTCTCTGTGTGTCTCTGTGTTTGCCCTGATTTTTTCTACAGCTGAGGCCACCGCAGCCTGCTGTTTACCTCTTCGTACTGGACGTATCCCACAATGCAGTGGAGACAGGCTACCTGAATGTGTTCTGTCAATCACTGCTGGACAATATCAATGCGTATGTACAACTTTTAATTTCCATGTTATTACAGAAGTTGTTGTAATTTCTCATAGTGCTTTTAAAGGCTACAGAGGACCGAAACACGAACTCAGTTTAGATGTTTGACATTTCATGTGTAGATGAACTGGTATAAATCAGGTTGTTCAGAAGATATTTAATCATACATGATTGCACTTTATTAATAGGAATGAATGATTTTCTTTTATATTCATTCAACTGTGAGGTTGATATAGGTCTTTGTAAATAAAGATGAAAGAAGATCATCCCTGTATCCAAAGTGCTAATGTGTTAATGTAACTGTGTGTGTGTATGTCCTAGGCTTCCTGGAGACTCGCGAACAAAAGTAGGCTTCATCACCTTCGACAGCACCATCCACTTCTACAACCTGCAGGAGGGACTCTCCCAGCCTCAGATGCTCATCGTGTCAGACATCGAAGGTGAGACGCCCGACAGCAAAGGCCACACACTCAATATTACTGCAACTTGACACCAGTTGTCAACAAACTTACTGCAGAAATATACTACTTGTAAATATATAAGGTATCAAGAGATCACAGTGGCCTGGGTCAGTAAACGGGAGAGTGATGTATGCAGTTTTTAGGAACTGTGGGCTTCTGCTTCTGTGACACTTGTGTGAAAATTCTCAAAACATTCACCTGGATGCAAATTTTCAAATGTGTTAAAATCAAAAAGATGTCATCAAGATGAGTGCTTTGTTGTAATGATTTATTAAATCAATCAGTTTGTAGTATTTGCACTATTAAAAATGAGTCTCATCACTATTGTAATATCATTGTGTCATATGACTGTATTATGTTTGTTTAAATGATAACTTTTTGTGCTTCACAGACATCTTTTTACCAACACCAGACAGCCTTCTAGTAAACCTCAATGAATGCAAAGAAGTAAGACACTTCACCTTGATTAAAGCTGTGTTGTGAACGTGAATATGATTCCACACCTTTCCCACTTTGGGAACAATAATGGGTCAAAAAAAATAAAACTCATACCCTGTATTTGTTTTTCAGCTCGTGCAGGATCTGCTTAAGAGTCTGCCAAGTTTATTTGAAAAGACCATGGAGACCCAATCTGCCCTGGGATCAGCTCTGCAAGCAGCCTTCAAGCTGCTGTCGCCCACAGGAGGGCGCATGTCTGTCTTTCAGACGCAACTGCCCAACCTCGGTGTGGGGGCACTCCAGTCCAGAGAGGACCCCAACCAGCGGGCATCTGCCAAGGTAAGAGATGTGATGATGATGTCTCTCCAGGACAAGTGTGTAGGACAGCATTCAATAGGATTAAAGAGATGTACAGCAGCTTCGTTACTCCAGATGTCACATTAGATATTTTGACGAAATAAAACTACAAATATTGAGGATGCTCATTATAGTGCTATGATATCAATTTTATTTATGTGGGCAGTGCCTTAGGCAGTGACCTTGTATTGCAATTAATAACAGAAAAAATAGAGGTTTTTTAGAATTTAAGATGGAAAGCGTTGAAGACAGGATAATGATCAGTTGCTGCAAAGCTTCCAAACATGACCCATTAGTGGTTTTATTTATGGCAGGTTAATAATTACCCATCACTCCTACAACCTGTATTATTATGTATAGCTGATTATTATATAAAGCTGATTATTGTTTTGTCTGCCTGTTTAGCACTTTCATGGCAATTTAAGCCAGACCCTAAATTGCACAGACAAACAAAACTGAATTAGGTTAACGTCATGGTTTTCATAGCATGACCGTTTCAAAGGGTAATCATGAAGCTAAAGGACCACCGTTCCAGACAAATATGTTCTTTTCAGCTATATATTTAGATCTTGAAAAACTTCTGGATTTGAACTACTTCTAGGTAGTTGCGTTGAGTTCAGATTTAGAGCTCATGGGCCTAATTGGTATGTTTTCCTCTCAGGACATCCAGCACTTATCCCCAGCGACGGACTTCTACAAGAAGCTGGCTCTGGACTGCTCTGGCCAGCAGGTGGCTGTTGACCTGTTCCTGCTCAGCTCCCAATACTGTGACCTGGCATCGCTTGGTGAGTCCCGCACTGAATGAAGGAGAGAGGGAGGATAGAAGGGAAGAAGGAAGGAGGGTTTACTGGACTGCTGATGTTTGTTTACATGTTTATTGCTCAGTATAGAATACTTTGACCTGATACTGCAAATTTTGATAAATTTATGATTTACCATCTAGTTATTTTGTGGTTGTAAGAAACATAAGAAACGGAACAGAAGGAGAGGGAGGGGGATTGGGTTATTTATTTACTTTCTTTATGAGACAAAAATAACACAATCATTATTTAAGCGTTGCCTCATCTCTCCTCTTCTGTGCCTTCTCTCTCCCAGGCTGCATATCCAGATACTCAGCAGGGAGCGTTCACTACTACCCTTCCTACCACCACCAGCATAACCCCGCTCAGGTGGAGCGCTTCCAGAAGGATCTGAAGAGATACTTAACCAGGAAGATTGGCTTTGAGGCTGTCATGAGGATACGCTGCACCAAAGGTCGGTTGTCGCAAGAGCTGGAGTTCGGTTGAGCGTTGACCTAAATACAGTGCATTAAAATGTCCCTGATGGATATTTGACATTAAAGATTGAACTCTCAGTCATTCTGGAGAAAACATTATGTCTCTAGAGTCCAGGAAAAGTTTAGTTTTTGTTGTGGTGGCTATTTTGCAGTTTAGCGCTATGATTCCAGTTTGATAGATTTCGTCTGTCTGTCTCTCTGCAGGTCTATCCATCCACACGTTCCACGGAAACTTCTTTGTGCGGTCCACAGACCTGTTGTCCCTCCCTAACGTGAACCCAGATGCTGGCTTTGCAGTTCAGATGTCCATCGAGGAAAACTTGGACGACATGCAGGTTGTCTCTTTCCAGGCCGCCCTGCTTTACACTTCCAGCAAAGGTACACACACACACACACACACACACACACACACACACACACACACACACACACACACAGCCAAAATTGTTTCCTTTTTTTTAAATCCACTATGATAATAACAAATAGTGAATCTGTCTCCTTTGTTTAAATAACATGTCTTTTTTCTGTTGCAGGAGAGAGGAGGATCCGTGTCCACACTTTGTGTCTCCCTGTGGTCAATTCTCTGTCAGATATCTTTGCTGGGGCCGATGTTCAAGCCATTACTGGGCTGCTGGCTTGCATGGGTACGTACTGCATTATGTAACACTTTCAAAGGAACACGTCAGATGTGACTATTTAAGGACATTGCCACTTCAGTTGCACAGTTTGTTAAATCCATGTTGAACTGACAACATTGAATGCTTTGAATCCTTAATTTTATTGTAATAAATCATATATATTATATATTATTAAGAATTTAAGTTGTTCCTTAAGTTTTCCCATGAAGAAAACTTGCAATAGCCTCTAACTTTATAATTTCAATTGAGCTGAAAAAGTGTGGGCATGGTAAAATCACAACCCATGTATCACAACTCATACTTTTATTTATTTGTTTAGTTCATTAGTCAGTTTGTGCGTGTTTCTTTCCTGTTGCTTGTTGAAATTCAGTATTTACGATTTACATAGTTGTGTATTATAACTTGACGCAGGAATGTGAAAGTAACGTTACACATGCAGTATTTCATGACTTTTGTCTTTGTCAATTATCTGATTACATCAGTGTTTTCAACATGAATGTTTTCTTCAGAAGACGTGCGTGCGTGTGTGTGTGCAATATGGATAAACTTGAATTTGTGTAAAGCATCCCTCTGAAAATTATTCGTCATTGTTATAGTAAATAGTCGTGGAAGGTTTTCATCCACTTGACTGTTATTAGCACTGACAGATGGACATGAGTAGCGACAGCTACGGTTGCCTAGCAGCCATCGCACACTGAGCAGTCAGATCTGTCCGGGTTCATCTCACACTCACTTAGAGAACAGATGCTCATGTTTTGCTTTCTTGAGGAGAAGAGTTTGACATTTAGTTTGAACATAGAACATCAGCTGTTGTCAACACTACCACTGCAAATGTAATGATAGTCCAAATGATGAATGATGATATTTGTTCCTCACTTCAACTGATGGCACACAGCTGTTCTAAACTGTTCATTACTGTGCACAATATTAAAAGTCTTATTAAAGTTGCATTAAAAAATAAAAAGACTACAATGTACAGCTAGTAACAGCATATGTTTTAAAATGATCATAAATGACATTTAAACTTTCACGCTCAAATTTTGTAAAGATTATTTTTCCCACCATGCATATCACAGCAAACATTTTTGGTCCTTAGATGTTATAAGAAATGTGGATGCATACAAAGTCCAACCACTCATACCATCACAGATTATTTCACAATCCCATCTACACCCTTCACAACAGGGTTAGAGTTCATTCAAGAAGAGGAATGAGACAAATACCTGTGAGAACTGTCTGTTTATCTCTGTCAGTTTTGTTACGGCCACTAGGGGACACCCAAGTGTCAGAAACTTTTGACAACTGTAAATGTGTCCCTCTCTCCAGCTGTGGACCGTTCAGTGACAGCCAGTCTGAGTGACGCCAGAGATGCGATGACCAACGCTGCCATTGACTCGCTGTCATCGTACCGGCAGTCTGTGTTGACCATCCAGCAGCCCGGTCTGCTGGCCCCGGCCTGCCTCAGACTCTTCCCCCTTTACATCCTTGCGCTGCTCAAACAGGTCAGCTTTTTCACACAATCCAGTCCTTACACACTCAATCCTACTTACAATTTAAATATGTGAAGAGTTAGGGTAAATATTCTGTATTCTTATGCTTCCTAGTGAATTTACTAGTTTAGCTTTTCTTTCTGGCCCTTGAGTAAATGCTTCTACTCCCCGGATTAAGTGTTGTAAACCATTGAGCCTTTATTGATCCAGTTGCATGTGTTTGTGTGTGTCCTGCAGAAAGCCTTCAGGACAGGTACCAGCACCAGACTGGATGACCGGGTGTTTGCCATGTGTCAGCTGAAGTACCAGCCACTGGCCTACACCATGCTGATGATCCACCCTGCTCTGTACCGTGTCGACGATCTGACCGATGAGGTGAGGAGGATGATTCAGCACCTGCACATCTCAGCTAATGCAGCAGTGAAATAAATTGTGACCTGGATCAGGCAGAAGTTTCAGAAAGACCAAAAAGCGATTATTTATGTTTTGTTTTTTTATCTCTGTGTTTTGTTTATGATTTAGATTATTCTTTTTTGTGTTAAAAACTATTTTTAGTAAATTCACAGTTCAATCTCGAGGGTGTTTATTTTTTGCAGTGGGCTGAACTTGTAACAGTAATTCTGATAGTTATTTTTAACTATCTCCCTTTTCTTCTTTATCCCGCATCCTCAGGGAGCTTTGAACATCAACGAGCGGACCATACCCCAGCCCAGAGTGCAGCAGCTGTCTGTGGAGAAGCTCAACAGGGACGGAGCTTTCCTCATGGACGCTGGAATAGTATGTTCTAAAATACCTTGCACTTGAAAACAAGCTAACAGAAAAACAAGGCCGATGTCTTAACCCAGACTGAATTATGATGAAATCCTGAGTAAGAACGAGAGATTTAGAATATTTTCAGATTGACCTTTCCTTTTATAAAAACACTTAATTAATATTTAAACATTTTACCCAGTGAAGTAGCACTATTATCCAGTGTGGCTTTGAATTAAAACATGAGCACAAGCTTCAGTTTTTATATCTTTTATATTTCAAGGACCCACTAATGAGATGGGCAAGAGTGAATTTAATATATTTTATCATTTATTTCATCCCAAAAGGTGATGTATCTGTGGATCGGACGGAACTGCCACCCCAACTTCCTCACACAAGTCCTGGGAGTTCCCAACTATGCTGCCGTGCCTGATAACCTGGTAGGTAAACCTCATGTTGCAGCAGTGACGCTTAAAAAAAAAAAAAAAAAAAAAAAAAAAACAATTCCCACTGGATGTGGTCATTGTTCATTCCTCCACTTTATAACATGTATCTGTGCATCAGGATTTTCCAACAAATTGTCTGGAGGATGACACATTGGTCCCATCTTTTAACTTGCATAAAGCACAGCTACAGTTTCACTCCTGCAACTCTTGCATCCTCCTCCTGATGATGAAAACTTGACTGTTGCTCTTCTCTCATAGTATCTGCTGCCAGAGCTGGACACCGCCGAGTCACAGAGAACCAGAGCTTTCATTGGTTGGCTGAGGGATCAGAGGCCATTCTTCCCCTCTCTGCATGTCGTCAGGTGGGTTTATTTATTTATTTATTTTTTTTAGTAAACGGTCAAGTAGGAAGAAAAGTATGGAATATACTTCCTTTGTGGGGAAATTAGCAAACAGCTGCCGGCAGTATTTCATTTTGGCTATGAAGTTACTTTGTCTTTCAGCTTCTTGGGCAGGTAGTCTACTGTCTGTTCCTCTGAATGAACAGAAGCTGGCTGAGAGAACATTAAGAGCGGTGACTGAAATGATTTTAACCATCAGTGTAACAACTGATTCAATGGAAAAAATCAGAAAACTGAGCAATGAGGTTACAGAAAAAAGAAAAAAATAAGAAAACTACTGAGTGCTAAGGTGTAGTAGATTTCACAGGGAGGGAAATGAGGGTTAATGTCAATCAAAAGTGTTCACTCCAAAGAACCTCAATGTTTTCAAAGTAAAACAAGGCTTGAATTTTCTTTGTCATCACTTTGAAATGAAAACTGTGCAACTGAAAGCAATGTTTATTTATTATTCTTTTTACACCCTTTTATCATTTGGTACTTTCAGGGACGAGAGCCAGCTGAAAGCCAGCTTTATGCAGAACATGATCGAGGACCGAACGGAGTCGGCCCTGTCATACTATGAGTTCCTGCTCCACCTCCAACAGCAAATCTCCAAATAATCTTCAGTGGGACTGTGGAGATGAGCGAACACTGAAGCAAGGATGCGCATCAGTGTATGTGTGTGCGTATATATGTAAATGGTGTGCGTGTGTGTGTGTGCGCGTGCGTCTGTGTGTGTGTGTGTGCTTGAAAGCAGAGGGAGGCAGGCTCAAGGATGCCTCTTGCTTCATTTCCAGCTGTGGTCCACCATCTCTCTGAGGAAAACTTTCTAAACTGAACTGATGTGAAGCGTCACTCAAATCAAACTAAGTGACGGACAGTGTGAGGACGGAGAGACAAAGATGCATTTTTGGCACTTTTTACCCAGCTGAAGCAAAGGAAGAATAAAATCAAGAAATCCACGACGATGATGATTACATGTGTCAATGATCGAATGGATCAGTGTTTATTCTCATAGAACAATGCTGTCTAACTGAGGTATCGCTCAGATAGAGGCAGCAAACAGATGTGTTAAGTGTTTTTGTTCAAAAAGCACAGTCGTCTTTACTAAAACAAATCAAACATATGTATGTATGTATGTATGTATGTATGTATGTCTAAGATTAGGTTTATAAGGAAGGTTCGTATGTCTGCGCTAAAAGACTGTTATTGGGTGTCACCTGGAGTATTTGTATACAGAACACCTGAGCTCTAACAACACTCTAATATCGTACCCGAAGGACAGAACATGTGCTTTTTATTTCTCACTCATTATAATTGTGTGTCGAACAAATCCATAGACTCTGTTGTTAAAGGCAGAAGGGTTAAAGATGTTTTAAGGCGGATCGACCTCACTGTCATCGCTGCCTTGAATGTGTGTGGACAGTGGAAAGTTGTTTTCATTGGTCTAATCTGTCCTTCAGAAACTCTGTCATCTTTTCTCTCTCTGGACATTCAGAACACCTCTGATGGCATTGCTGTTCTGTTTAATTTCTTTTTTTCTGATTGTTTAATTTATGAGACTCCCAATCTGATTAAATTCTATAATTGCCTTGTATGGGAACTCACTTTTTATTATTAAACCTCTGTTTAAATACAGACTCTATATATGGAATATTTTAATATAATAGGATATGGGAAATTCTTTAACACAGACATAACAAAGCCATTGTGATCTTTTAATCATGCTTATTGATACTTGTATATTGAAAAGACTGCGTTATATAAAGGTGAAGAAATGCTGATGATTTTAGTATAAACAATAAGGTGAAATGACGCTAAGAAAATAAAATGTTTGAGACTTTTTAAATGTAGTTTGTGTTTTGGTGGGTGAACAGTGTTTATTCAGTGAAAATGAAAACTACAAAGCAGAATATGGACCAGTATAGTCCATATTTCTCTTGAATTGAAGGTTGAATTTGATCGAATTGAAGGTTTTTGATTTGGTCTGATTTCATACCGTTTGTAATCTATGTATTATATGAGCAAAAATGTATTTAGGAGCAGACAAATGTTTTGGTCTTCATGCACAAAATTGTCTTTCATAAAAAAAAAAACAATGAAAATAAAAACAGTCTGTGTTTGTACAGAGTAAATTCCAGAGGTGAAGACTTGAGTCACGTGACTTGAACTAGGGTCAGACTCCAGTCATGAAACTGATTTATACTTGACAAAACGGATAAAAATAAAACACTCTTGGGCACCAATGACTTGTGACTTCACCTGTTCACAAGAGAGTAAGAGGTGGAATGACTCCTGCCTAAACCCTAAGAATAATGATTGTTAGCTAAAAAGTGTTCAGCGAATCAACTTTTTCTCTTGTTTTCTTGATGGGAGACTTATTTAAACCTCTTATATGAAAGATAATTGCTAAGAGTGAAGTAAAGACTACTGAGATCATCAAAACATGTAATTGTGAAATTGTATTAAATTGGTTGAATGGGACATGACTTGTTAGCGACTTAAAACTCAAAGTTTAGGACCTGGACTTGAGTCTGGACTTCATAGCCTTGATTTGAGGATTACTTAAGACTTGGACCTGTGACAAGGGCTTTGTCACACCTCTGGTAAAATGCGCATCCTTTTTTAGGTTAAGATCAGGATTCATTTTTCCCTCGCATCATATCAGAGCAGCCACAAAAATGCCTTTCTGCTATGACATTAAGCATAGATGTCCCTTCTGGGTACAGACACATCCTGGTTGAGGTTTACTTTGTCACTATGAAAGTACTTTGACACCCAGAGCCAACAGTGGTGCTATAAATTTCTGGGCCACTTGACAACTGCTAATTCAAGGCCCTGAAACTGTAAATAGGGACAATATGATCCCTGACAAGTTCCAGGAACCTGCAAGACAAAAATAAAAATACAGAAATATGCATACCCACTCTTTTTTTTTGTCAGGTTTAATTTGGGTTTTGTTAAGATTTAAAGTACATTAGAGTCTAATAGCAAGATGAGGGGTGGGCAGATCAATCCCCAAAGTATCAATACTACTGATACAAGCTCTTGGATCAATACTAGGATCAATAGATTGATACTAAAAGAATGGACCCAGCACATGTTACACACACTTTTATTGCTGCAAAATTTGCATCTCTGATGCTGGTGTGTGCATATATGCAGTGAATTCACACAATGTTATTTACAGCAGGAAACGTCTCGTGTTTGGCAAAGTATTGTTTTATTGTATTTGTGGTAATGAAAATATATTCAGAGGTAGACTATTCATAATCCTTTATATGAGAGTCCCACCCCTTAGTGAGGCCTCTTTCCTGTAAGTCAGCGCTGAGGGCTGAAAAACCCTCTCAAACCACTTTGTCATGCTCGGCGCTGAGATCATCACTGTGCGTCCTCTCTTCAGACACCCCGCTGTCCACTCCGTCATGTTTACCGTGTAATTCAGTGATCTGAGGCTATTGTGTCGATCGCGGCGAGCTGTTGAATCATTACTTTACAGCACCGTGAATAGACGTCGTAGGCAACGCTTGATATCTTTCAACATGGAGTCCGGGGAGGCCAACGAGGAGAGGACAGGCTCCCTGTCGGCGGCGCAGAGGAGAGCAGAGATCCGGAGGAGAAAACTGCTCATGAATTCGGAGGATAGGATGAACAGGATCGTGGGATTCGCCAAAAACGAGTCTGAAAATAACGGTACGCAACGATGCTGATCGAGTTCACAGCACAGCGCCGGTTCTGCTCAAACGTATTGTCGTGACTGTCACCTGCTTCATGCTGCTGCTGCTGTTTCAGCTGCAGTCAGCACATTACCTTTGTTCACAGGCAATACTCTGTACCATTAATTCCACATTCATTTTCAGTACAAATGTATTTAATAGAGGTTTGTGCGGCCTGGGATTCAAAACCAGCAGCTCCCTGCTCCCAGTGTAACGGCACATCTGTGGTTTTCATGTAGAGCTGAGACAACCGATTCATTCATCAGTTAGCCGTTTCATAGAGAATTTGATCGATTGATGACGATTTTGATCATCAATAGATAATGGATGTAAATTTTAAGACAAAAATACTTAAAGATTAACAAATTTCTGGATTTTAAATTTTTCTTTCATTTTTTAAAATTTATTTAAACTTTATTGTCCCCACGAGGAATTCAGTCTCGCAAAGTGCAATACACACACACACACACACATATACATACACACCCTTTTGTGACCACCCTTTGCTTTTGAGTTCTCAGGTAGGTTGTTCCAAGCATCTTGATCTTGGAGAATCTGCTACCGTTCATCCGTGGATTTAGTCTGTCTCGGTTTCCTCTGCTTCTTCGTGTGATCCCAGACTGACTCCATGACCTTGAGATCAGGGCCCTATGGGGGCCAGATCGTCTGTTGCAGGACTCCTTGTTCTTCTTTTCTGTTGAAGATAGTTCTTTATGACTCTGGTTGTACGTTTGAGGTTGGAGCGATCAGACTCCTCCCTGATGGTACTGTGTGATGGATAAGAATGCTTTAAGTGCCTAAAATATACTTAAACCCATAGCCATACTGATTACCCAGATCTTGAGCTTTATACCAGAACAACTTAAGCTGAAACAGTTGGTTGATGATTTGTCAAGTTGATTGACAGAAGTTTAATCTTCAACTGTTTTGATAATGAATTAATCACTTAATCCCTGGTCCCTAATCGCTTTCTTTGTCCTCCATGAGAGTTATAGGGCAATTGGTACATGTGAACTTGGGCTTGGGGAAATAGTAAGAGGCAGACTTTAGAACAAATAACTGTGGATTACTTAAGAAAATAATCAGAAAATGAATTGGTTTGACAATAATTATTAGTTGAAGCCCTAGTTCAGTTGACAGCAAGAGTGAGAGCAGTGGTGTAGGATATAGCTTGTCCATCCAGGTTTCCTTTAGAGTGTGATAATACACACTCCGGCACTCTCATGGTTCACTCACACAGGTGAGCAACAGAGTGTCACATTTGAGAGATTGGAACCATATGTTGTTTCCTTGATGAATAGGTTAAACAATTAATAGACTTAAAGTTTCAGCACTAGTCAAATGTGACATCACTGATGTTATCTCAGCAGGAGCTTCTCGGCGCCCCGCAGAACCCCGCTTCCACCTCGATCTTGACAGGACAGAGGCGTGGTCCTCATGCCCGTCTTCCCAGAGGCCGTCACCTTTCCTGCCAGAGGTTTCGGGGCTCGGCAGCCGCTCCCACAGCGCCACCCCAGAGAGAAGGGGCTCACCCCTGCCCGAATGCAGTGATCTGACTGGATGCTCTCTGGATGACGACATCGCAGGGGTTCGGCAGAGACCAAGGGGGGAGCGGGCATCAGATGACCTCAGCGGGTCCCCGCGCCGAGGCCTCCAGAAGTACCTGTCTCGTTTTGACGATGCCATGAAACTGCGGGGTCAGCTGGCCAACGAGAAGCCGCCCCAGGACGGAGGGTCTGACGCAGAGGAGTTTGATCCCTTCAGAGTCTTCAGGCTCATCGGCAGCGTCCTCCTCGCTGTTTTTGTCAGGGTTTTTGTTTGCAAGTATCTGGTGAGTCTGCTCGCTTTAGACGCTTTGTTGCTGTGGCAACTGTGATATTGACCCATTGGTCATTTTACGTGTTAACCGATGAGCATGTAGACACTAAATTGATACACGTACATTTTATGTATCCAATCACAACGTTTAGTGACAGTGGGTAACTAACACTATCAAAGTAAGACAAGTGACTTTTCATGTGCTTTATTAATTCTTACCCACTATGTTACTTACACACGTGTTTTGACACTAGAATTACAGATGCACAGAAAAATGAATGTATATATTCTGTTGTGGTATCAGGTATTAATTATGTGGTAATATTACATACAATTTTTGATGTCTCAATAATAATGAATCTGACTACTAAAAACATTGTATTGCTGTAGTGATGTGACTCTCTTATTCTTTCATTCTAGTCAATATTTGCTCCATTTCTGACCCTTGAACTGGCCTACATGGGCTTGTCCAAATACTTTCCAAAGGTGAGTTTGCAGTAGTTATTTTTATGACCCGTTTTGCGTTGTTTAACATGTATGCAGACGGTATCACCTCGATGCAGATTCTTATATTTTACTTTGGAGTTGTCGTGGTGTGAAATTTAAACCGGGGACCTGCGTGATTTGCTTTATACTCCTGTTTCTCCAGGTAGAGAAGAAGACCCAGACCACTGTGCTAACCGCTGCCCTGCTGCTGTCCGGCATCCCCGCCGAAGTCATCAACCGCTCCATGGATACCTACAGGAGGATGGGTGACGTCTTCGCTGACCTCTGCGTCTACTTCTTCACCTTCATCCTCTCGCACGAGATCCTGCTGTTCATTGGCTCAGAGACTCCCTGACATACCAGGAGGACCTCAGTAACCCAGCCCTCCTTCTTGTTGGCCCCTCCCTCTGTCTCCACTTAGCAACAAAGCATGCTCATTTACACTCTCTGACGTGGGTTTGTTGTTGACGGTCTGGAAATGAATCCCTGCTGTCTTATGATCAGCGCGGTGCGTCAGTTGGACGAGTGCTTATCACTTCAGCGCTTCAGGATTTCCACTAAGGCTAAGCTACATGCTACTAGCGCGTCCAGTGTTTGTTTCAGATCTCCAAGTTATGTTTACCCGGCACAGAAGCTCAGAAAAGGAACAAGTTTGTGTGTGTATGTGTGAAGAATGTACAGGCATTTATAATGCTGGGTGATATTTATTTATCGAGCAGGAAAATGGTAAATGTGGGACTGAAGAGTGGACAACAGTAGGCCTACAGTTCATCATCAGCCTGACCTTACATTGGGACGCCACAGATTCCTTTTAACTGATAAATGGGAAACACTGGAGTCCCTCAAGGGAAATTCATTCATTTAAAAATTCTGTTACTAATGCAAGTTTGTATTACCATAATGCAATTCCACTGAAAGCTAATAGACAGTGATATTGAATTATTGCGAAGCCCCGAGCCCCTTCATATCCTAAAAAACTCTAAAGATGGGCAAGGTGTCATATTCTCAGCCAGCACCACCCAGGTTGGTATTGGCTGGTATTACCAGGTGCCTGACCCTGCTGTGAAACCACATCTACTTTGGAGGTTCAGTTGATGATCTCCCAACTAGTTTACAACACTACAAATGCCTTTCTGTCATATTAGTCAGCCCTGCAGTGGCTTAGACAGGGCTGGGGTCAGTTCATGCCCTTCAAAACCTGAATCTGAACTTCTCAGACAGCTGATAGACCTTTTCAGAGTAAAATTTTTTAAAACATTTTGGCATAAATTAGTTACTGAATCAACTGAAAGCAATAAATTGACCAAACCCCCCCCCCCCCCCGCCCAGAGTGAAGAGGTTGATTGAGGCTCTTGATCTTTTTACAATTTACAGTTGAGGGTTTAACAGTATTATAAGAACTGACAGAAGCAGGTGGTTTACTTTCCCTGCATACAGAATATCTTCACCCCTGCTGATCACTTGCAGTGTCTGTGCTTCACGCTGTAGACAACCTTGAGGGTTTTCAGTTGTATCATCAGTAGTGACCATGACGGTACAACAAAGAGCTTCTTTTAAGAATAAGCTTAATTACATTGAAGATAAGGAACAGTAGAAAATGTGTGCTCTGAGATTAGTTTCAAGATTTAGAACATTTGATTTCTGATTTTATTCTCAGGATTCTTATTTAAAAATTTGAATTATTTTGTCTTTTGTGGATTCTGTGATTAATCTCTGAGATCTTTATTCACATACAGCCCTCCTTCCTGCCATACATGCATCAACTAGCAAGAAAAGTTGGAACAACAGTTTCACAAGCCAAGGCATGGCTGCACGGTCACCTCAAAGCTTTCTGTCGAGAATGAGTTCAGGAAGCAATTGCAGCCCTGAAATCAGCCTACATTTAAACACTTTAATGATCTAATTTTAGGAGAAACAGCCGTTATTTTGCTCTTAATACCGTGTACTGAGCTAGAGGGTAGAACAGAGGGCGAGAGGGAACAAAACTACTCTTGATAAATGAAATAAATGAGTGTGAATGGATTGAGAACAGATGACAGAGTTGTCTCAATGGCATCGAACTCTAAGCTTGTTATTTTGAGGTCACAAAACAGTTACACACGTGGGCGTCCAGCCTCGTTAGGGAATAAGTTAGAAAGTAAAAAGATAAAGATAGTTTGAGTTTAGAGAATTTTTTTTTTTTTTTTTTGGCATTGTCGTCTTGCACAAGCAGGAGTTGCTGAATTCTTCATCAACTGAAAAACAGAGCAACTGAACTTGGTTCGATAGATCAGCAGCAGTCCAGTTCCTGATGATTTTTATTTGGTGTCTTAAGAACTTGAACTCTCCTTTAATTGGTGGATATGAATCATGTATTTGTGTTATGACACATCTTCTCATAGGCAGTGCTTTAATTTCCGTTTTCTGTTACGATCTGTCCTCCAGTGTTCAAAAGGGTCCACCTACATTATGAACAGGTTTTCTTCCTTTGTTTAAGTTGTGAAGTCAGAAGAGGCATTTACTCCTTGAAGGTGGAGTGTATTATTTTGCACGTCTATGAGCTGACAAACGCAGTAAACTTCATACAGTATATGTACGTAATGAAAAGTGTGATTAATGGCAATGTATTGGGTTTTAATGGAAAGTACTGTCACCGCAGTTCAGCGAGAGGCAGTGGGAGTTTGTAGGCTTATTTGTGTTGAGTAATTCTGGTGACGTGTCCTGCTCATTCATACATACTTTATAATAGTATACTCTCTACTTCTGTGCTGTTAATGTCCTTGCTGCATACCTTTAATTTCATCCAAATTAATTTATTAATGTGAATCTTTTTTTCATGTAAATGAATTGGTGTGATTTATCTTACGACTTGTCTGACCTACTTGATTGTTTTTGATAATGTTTACAGAATAACTGTTTTTAATGGCTCTTACAGTACTTATTTGAACTTAACGAACAAATTTAGTGTTGACATGATGTAAACAGTTTCTGCTTAAAAAAGAAAAATCCAATAACCGAACAGTTCATACCAAATAAATACTACTTGTGTGACATACTGTTTAGAATCTCACTTTCTTGATTTGTTTATTGGGTTATGTAACCGGGACAGTGCACAGTAATAAACATCACTGAAAACCTACTTCCCCTTCATAGCTTTCTTGCAAGGCCATCCTTTAAAAAAATCTTGAGTTGAGGTCATTACTACTTTATAAAATGACTAGTGGAGAAGTTGAGGTGTGTCAGCACCCCAAAACTAAGAAAGGTTTCACTGTATTTTAATTCATTATCAAATATGATCTGACTATAAGAAATAAGAATAAATATTACATACAGTATTTAAAACAAATATAATCTTGTTAGAATACTTATAAGACAAATATTAATACAATTAATGAAATTACAGCGTTTCCTTATATTACAGTATACAGTATAAGTTACTTATTATATTTGACAGACTATATTAAAATAATATATAAAAAATATATATTGTACATAATTATCAAATAAAAATACTAAAGTAAATACCAGTACCTCTGCAAAATCCTGTAAAAGAGATGTGGGATTGTGTCTCTGTGTCTCTTCTTACATGTGGGTGTGTAGAGAAGAGAATCAAAGACCCAAGCACACAGTGCCTGACATGGACAAGGCCCTCACAAAGCCAGGAATTAAAACAGATTTTTCTGTAATTTTGATTTTTTTTTTTTTTACATTATTTGCATGATAAGTAAACGGTCTTATTACTTATTACTGTTGGCTAAATAAATTGTTAGAAGGACTATTTCTTGTATCTAAAATGAAAGTGATGCAGGGTCTAAACCTGAGCTTTAAGTTTTAATACTGAGGCCATTTATTTTGTTTGTGCCTTTGAATGATTATTAGCCTAAGCTTCATTGTGGTGTAACAGACTGAGCTAGCACTCGCCACTTTCACATATAAGCCACCGCTTGTGTGAAAGTATTTAACACCACCTGTGTAACTCAGGCTCCAGTACACGTTTGGATTCGCCGCACTGACCTCCCACCGCGGGGCGGCGCACTACGTTGTTGACTCTACAAGTTTGTGACTTCAACTGTCGCAGTTTTTTTACGTACAGGTTCAAAGACACAAACAACCCTACAGCGTACAACAGTCGTTTTAATCTGTGAACACATTTCACTTTTCACAAGACCTAAATTCGTGGAATAGCAATGGGCCGTGAGTCGAGGTATGTCAGAATTATCAGGGCAATTATGTCAGGTCAATGTTTGTCCTGTTGCCGCTAAACTTTAGTTGTTTTAATTCGATGGCTAACATTAGCATGCTAGCTGAGGCGTTTAGATGTTAGAGCGCATCAGCCACCAGTTAATCTCACACAGCTGTGGAATGAGCATTAAATAAGTTTTTTTGTACATGTAGTTTTCCATCAACATTTTATCAGCTAACATGACTGTTCTGCTGTTTGGTCCTCAGACACTACAGGAAGCGCTCGGCGTCTCGGGGACGGTCAGGTAGCCGATCAAAGAGTCGCTCCCCGGACAAACGCTCCAAGAAAGACGATAGAGACCGAGACCGAAGCAGGAGGGAAAGGTCACGGAGCCGGGACCGCCGAAGGTCTCGGTCCAGAGACAGAAAACGGGCCAGGTGGGTGTTGAACGTAATTGTATTGTGCACAATATGTGAGTGCTTAAGATAAAAACTGCAGCCGTTTGCAGTTGTATTTACAGCTTAATGAGTTTTGGTCCACTTCAGCTCTGATGAGAACTCAGACCACGTGATTCGCACCACAATTTATACAATACAGGCATCATTAATACAGTTTTTCAAAGTTTTGCTCTACAAGTTCCAAATAAGTCTCAAGAGGAGACATGGGTGAGAATAATGACATAGCCCCATCAAAACTAGGTTATGTGCTTGTTGTTGCTAACGTAACAATACCATAACCGCCCACAGAAGCCATCAGGAGGTGTACTTTAATAGGCCTGTGTTCATTCCAGTTAAATCATAAAGATAAAACCCAAAGTGGGTCAGGCCTGTGTTGTGTTCACAGATCAGTTTAACTTCAAGACGAATCACAATAAAAGAACTGCAGTTTATACGTATGCATGTGCCCTAAAAAATCGATGGTTTTACTTAGTTTGAATTCACTCGAGATAAATGCAATGTTCCAAATATTCCTAAGAAAGAGACGGGTGCCTTTCCCTCTGGTCTTTTGTGTTTTCATGTCGCATGACATGACACATTTCTTTGCTGTCCAGGCGATCCAGGAGCAGAGACAGGAGGAGATCCAGAAGCCGAGACAGAAGGAGGTCAGGCAGCAGGAGCAGAGCCCGGAGGTCTCGATCTGCCAGCCCCAGCAAGAGCAGAAGAATAGATGAAAAGTGAGGCTTTTAAAAAGATAATCTCATGACATAATTGTCAGCTGTGGTAACCAAAATCCAGAAAATCATCAAGTGTAATTTGTAAATTAAATCATCTTTTTTTGTTATCTTCCACAAAGGTCAAGGAGCAAAGAGAAAGACAATGTCGATCCTGTATCTGATAAGAAAAAGGTTAAAGAGGAGAAAGAGGATGAGAAGGTTGAGGATGTAAGTGCCATAGATTCAGTTCTTGATGACAAATGAGAGGTCACCACATAGTAGAAGGAGAATATTTCTGATCTTTCTTTTGTGTCTTTGCAGCAAGACTTTGACCAGAACAAGCTGGAGGAGGAGATGAGAAAGAGGAAGGAGCGGGTGGAGAAGTGGAGGGAAGAGCAGAGGAAGAAGGCCATCGAAAACATCGGCGAGATCAAGAAAGAGCTGGAGGAGATGAAGCAGGGCAAGAAATGGAGCCTGGAGGATGATGATGGTGAGGAAGCACTGTTATAATAACCTGCAATACTTCTATTTAAACCTGACCAGGCTGTCACAATAAACAACAACATGTAACCTACCAGGAGTAAATGAAAGTCGCTCAATTGAAGTTTCAGTCAGAAAGTTTACTCCTGTGACTATAACAAATATTCTGTGAGTGAAGGTCTTGAATTTGGTCCAGCAGGTGCTATTTTATTCTAGAGGAATCCTGGTGTCAAACTGAGAAATTAAATTCTCTTATCACCAAAGAATATACCAAAAGCAGCCCCCTCCCCCTCCAAGGAGTATTTTAATTGTTAATTGAACCATTTACTATTGATTATTGTTTACCATCACAAGTTGGTATGATGCTTTACTTTCATTTACCGTTTAAATCCATGTTTCTGTAATTGATATGACGGTTATTTTAAATAGTGAAAACATTGTTTGCATTGTGAAACTGTATCCAGCACATGTTTGGTTTTTGTGCTTGAGAAGTAATTAAATCAATTAAAGTC